GCCGCAAGGACATCGAGGAGTGTGCCTCACCTGCGTGCGCACTCTGCGAACAAGGAAAACCAAAAAATGAAACAACGAAATGGATAAGTCCTTTGACAAGGCTTGGAACAGCCAAAGGGCATCTGTAACCCTTCCAAAACTACCCCTGCTCTTTGGAAACTGCCATGCCATCGACAACCGAGTGGAGACTTCTGTGAAAACCGCTCTCTTGCTGCAGGGCCCATGTTTCAACATATGCACAATCTGTTGTTGTAAGTCAAGCTTTGGGAAAATACAGCTGGCTTAGCAGAAGACAACGCCTGTGCCTAAGAATTGACGCGATTGTGGGCTGATGGATGTCTGGTTGAGAGCTTATTCAGGGCTGATAGCTACCGGCAAGGATGGAGTACTGAGCTTCCACTAAGGACTGGGTCAACATGCTTTCGAACTCGACACAAAGGCTGCTCGTTTGAACAGCTACCCCGCAATTCAGTCGTGCTCAAAAACACTCAACCTGCACTCCATGATACTCTGCAGATCTTCGCAAAGCACAAGTGCCAATCTCCCAGTGGAAACTTGAGGAGCCTTAAGCAACCGGGGAATCGACAAAAATGGTCGGTTTCCCTTTGGGGTTCCTTTCAAACCAACCCAAAAAGCTTACCCTTACAAGAAGACAAGCCATGTGGTGTCGATTGGTTACAATGCAAAATAACTCGTACCCAAAAACTCACAAATTGCACATGCCTGCGACACTCAGTGGATACAGCTTCATGCTGGGCTGTCTGTTTGTTGGGGAACCCTCTTTTGGCTAAACCCAAAGGCAAACCAGCCTTTGGGGGTCCCCTAAACAATGACAAGGAACATGTCAGTGCCGTTTGGCCGCCACACTAAAAACGGCCGCCCACAGTAAGAATAGCCCAAGCAGCCGTCCATCTCCAGGTGAGATTGATGCGCGGCCCGTCCACGTGGCCCTCACCGAGCATCGCTCGGAGAAAGCCGAGTCGGCCGAGTCTTGCAATCAATCGCCGTCAACAAAGGAGTCGAATGGTATCAACCACCCTCTAATCTACCTCTCTGGTCTGTCTGGAACCACTGCCTAGTTAAATCAAAGCCATGCTCATCACGTCGGCCAGCGATAGATGGATTCACGTCAATGCATACTCCAGCAGTCGCATGTCTAAAAAAGGTTGGTACTTGTGCTATGGTATGGAGCAAAGAACTCAGCGGCCGGCCCACAACCAACGTGAGCAACCATGTCAAGCTTGCATAGGGTTGAGTCCAAAAAAAGGACCAGACAAAACCATCAAGCACAGGGAAAGCGGTTGGACACGAGGCACGAAAATCATAGATTGGTCTTAAACTGCAACCACATGGGCTGCTGACCATGGGCTGCCTCTTTGCCGAGGTGCTGCCGACTCAAATGAGGGTAGTAGTAACACATTCCAACCATGAGCTTCACTGGAGATAGTGCACCAGGTTGCAACTGGTCTAGCACTTTAGGTTGACTGCTGGTTACTCTCCGCTTGACGATCTTCCGTGACATCCGAATATGAGTGCCAGGGCTTAGATTAGCCACGGCTAAGTTGACAACTGGGAAGCATCATCTGTCGACCAGTAGCGAATGGCGGCATTGGCTTCGGGGAGAAACATATGTTTCTCATCTACACCTTCGCCTGAGGTATCCTTCGCTTTATTCCAACCGCTGCGCCTACGCTGCGCCTGGCCTCCCGGGGCACTCGGTGCTGGAAATGCTTCTGCGTCATGCCTTCCATGGTCATTAGGTCACCATCTCCTGAGCCCGCTCGAAGCTCAGAATACGAAGGATGAGGCAAACCAAAGGATGGTCGCCAGGTCGATTTGTGGATCATACATTGTTGCTTCAGGATCCAGTGAATGACGAATGTTTGAAAAGATTTGGAGAACCTCTTTCACCATAGTCTGCACCCTTTCAGAGGTTGAAGGGGCACGCCAAGCAAACTCATTTTGCCGGGACCCCTATTTTAAGACACACCCATATGGGACTTGATCAAGAGGTCCTTTGCGTGGGAAGAGTTACCCTCGGTCATTTGGGAGCCAGATGTATTGATCAACCCCCATGTGTAAATCATTGTTATTTGAAACAACCTCCTTTGGGTTCCCTTAAAAGCGTGCCAGGGTCTGGTTATTTCTCTATATTTTCTGCAACCCACCAGTTGCTGACACTCCTTCGCAGATCAAATACATGCAGCCTCTTGAACAAACAGCGCAACCGATGGCCTAGAAGGCTGCCACCGGTGAATCCCTCCAAAAAAATGAGTCAAACGTTCCCAAACACGGTCCGAAACTCCCCAAAGTCCACCATGATTCCGGAGAGTTCCCGGTGCTTCTTTCGCCAAGAGAACTCACAAAAAGGAGAAAAAACCTACACGCTGAAAGCTCCCCGGGCCGCTGGCTTCGTCCAGGTCCCCGGGCCCAACATCACGCTCTTCAGGGCCCGCTCGTTCTCCTCCGGCCAGTTCGCCCGAAGCTCGAACTTGCGCCTAGCACGCGCGCGCTTCGCGCGCGATGGATGCCCACCCTCTTGTTTGAAACCTAAATGATTCACTCAAGACATGACACCAGAGACGCTAAACAGTTTTTGCGCGTCACACCTCTCCTTTTTGCTCAAAACATCAGAAGATGTCCAGCCAGGAGACCTTGGCAACAGATTGATCCCCATGCCGAGCCCAACAAAAAGCCATTTCCTGAAGGCGGTAGGTGAATTCCAGAGCTCCCCCCCCCTGCAAAAACTGAATAACACATTTGACAAAGTACGCTGATTTGGAGACAAATAGATCCCCAGTCTCTCAGACCCCGTGACGACCATTCAGGCTTGCTTGACGTCCACAGAATCCGCGGCGACAATCCGGCCTTATCCCCCGCAACCCTGCAGAGTCTAAAAAACAGAGACTTGTTGCAAGTTGTCCAATAAATGCTTCATATTCCCCTTTCCTCCCGGGATCCCTGAGGGCCCTGCCAAACAAACGACTTTGCGCGAAGGCTCTAATGAATGTAATGGTTTTGCTTGGAGAGAACGAGCTTGCATAGGTTCCAAATATCTGCGGAACCCGTAACCCAGCATCCAGACTTCCGGAAACCCAAAAAACTTGCTTGGCGATGAGACAGGGGCTTCGTTCAGATCTCTCCCCGAGGTCTCAACCTTGGGACCCTGCCATCCAGGCCCTACCCTGACAGCAGACCTTCTCGGAGAATGAAGGCATTTGCGTTGGGGACAAAAACAAAATGGTCCATTCCATGACCTGTGTGCTGTTGGGCATCCTGATGGCTCCACCTTCTCAAACTTGGACTCAGCCAGCCTCTCATCGAAGCCAACAAGGTGCGCAGCCACGGACCAACCAAACAAAGGTACTGGTCTTGCATGGAGCAAAGGTAGACCAAGACGGACGGGCTGCATCCGCGAGCCACATTCAACATTTTTTTTGCTCCCAGCTTTGTGAGCAAACCTCATTCTGGATGGTATTTTGGAGAGCCCGCCTGGCCCCCAAGGATAGAGACAGGATACGGATGTCAACCTCGGCGCGGGTTTACTGGGGAGCACCTTGATGATTCTGATTGAGTTACTTAGTGCACTTTGAGTCTTCGGAAACCTGTCTACGCAAACCAATGCAATTGAAAGAGCGGCGGGACTCTCCCTTTTGACCCTTCACTTCGCCGCGTTTTGAGGGGGCAAAAGAAGCAGCAGAGTGGCTTTGAACATTCCGAGACAAGACTTCCCATGTCAATATAGTTGGTCCTTGATTTCAAAATCAAACCTTTTCAGAACAGAATCCAGGAAACCCATGATACAAAATAGATGTCCACGCCCTCAACAGTTCGTATCCGCGGGATGATCAATGGACGATATCCCCATATTTAAAAAGAAACAAAATGCCGCTCATGCGCCGCGATGACTCAACTTTTTTATATACTCACTGTCGATTTTCCGAATTTGCACAGTGCCTCAGCGAGAGCGATCCGACACTCCCGAAGTCCGCAGAGGGCTCACTTTTGATGTTGGATGTTTGCGCTGCACCACAGCGGTGTTGGACATGTTGACCTCACCACAGCCCCAACGTCCAAAGAGGGTTCACCTTCAATGTTAGAAACTGGGGCAACACACCAAGTTCACAAAGGGTTCACTCTCGAGTCGCGCTTCTATTGTTAGCCTGCGAAGGCAGGCTGCGCGATGTTCAAAACAACTTATGTGCGAACCGGTCCTCTCAACACGATGCCGGCCACGACGAGCGCCCCCCAAGGACACCCTGCCATCCTCTAAACTGTAAGAACCCCTTGGCGTACGCAAACACGCTGGAGCAAAAATGTGCAAGCTCCGTGGTTTTGTGGAAAATTGAGGTGGGTCGCCCCAAACCGTCGTCTTGTCAGTTGCACCATCCCTTGAATCACAGCGGCAAGCTTGCCCTGGAAGAGGCTCTCATCGTCAGAGTGCCAGCCGACTGACATTGCGCCGTCCTCGTTCTGACTCCAAACTAGAGATGAAGGAAAGATACGAATACCCGTGACCATGTCTACCCAAAAATGAAGAACCGCACGCCATAGACAACCCTAGATCCATAGGGTTTTGAAAAGCCCATCCCTCGACTTCTTAAACTCTAAAGATCAGACCAAAGGCAATATCCTGTTTAGCTACTCATGTGAACTTATCTAAACCTGTCCAAGCCTGCGGCACAGTAAACCTACGAGAAGGGAATGTGCATTGCGGGCAAGTATGCTATTCTCCCATAAAGAACAACCCAGAACCCGTCTTTAGCAGGCTTCTCCCATCCCCTTTTTCATCTTCAGTGATTCGTTCAGGGCAGCTCCGGACTGCGGAGCAGCTCTCGATGCGCTTAGGGTTGAGGATTCCTTTAACGGTTGCAAAGGGCTCCGATGGTTGCAAAAGCCCTCCGGGTTGGGCGAGTTGTTGGATTTGGGTTCTGCATGGTTTCGAGCAGTTGAGAGTGGTGAGCCGCGGGCGTGATGCTTGGGGACACCTGTGGTTTGTCTCAATCATGCAGTGTAAGGAAACTTGACCTTAGCGAGACCCCAGGAGCCATGAGCACAATCCACAAACTTTGTTGGTATTATTGGACACCCTGTTTGATACGTAGCCTAAAACGGCTTCCTGCCCAATATCTCTCAACCCTGGTCTGACCACCGAGCAAGCAACCATCTGCCGACATACTGATGTCTGTGTGTGTGTGTCTAAATCGGAGGGACTCAAAGAAATAGGGCTTCTCTTTTGGTTTCCCTATAAGACCAACCTGAAAAGGGTACCAACTCCAAAGACACACACACACACATTCTCACCAGGGTCCTCGTACAGGTTGAGGTTGCAGGAATTCGGCCAAGTGCTGGGATCTTTGAATCCGCAGATCGGCATAATGGTGCTCATCATCTCAGCCGGTTCTTCGGCTCGGAAGCCGCACTCGAACAAAAAGGCAAAAACGATCCTTGGCTCCTCTGCAGATTAACATGCAACCCCACGGGGACTCTCTAGGAATAGTCCATGCTTGTTCTTATGCCTGTAAACAAAATTCTGCCAAACGACAGGCATGCTTGATGGGGGTAGGTACCATGCAAGTGTAAATGAGAATCTTCTGCGCATTCCCGACAGACTGCCAACACCCAAATTCCTTTCGGCTTTGCTTTTCGCCATTTTGGTAAGACTTGTCGCTGGACGTCTCTGTTTGTGTTTCCACTTTAGAGGTGTGTTTCTTTGAAACATGAACGTGATCATGTTGGGCCATGGGGTGTACTTTCAATTGCGAGTTGCCTTGAACGATGAACATCATAATTTCGGGCCACAGGGTGTACTCTCAATTCACTGTGGATTATTATGTGATGTTTAGGGTCGGTCTATCCACGCATCAAGAGCTTTCAAGTGCATTTCCACCACAATCGAATAAGATCTCGGTATCCTTGTCAAAGAAAGTTTGATAAATCTAGTTTGGAGCCAAAGACGCTATATGGCGACAAAGGTCACAGGTAATCGACCTCCCAAACAGAACAAACGAAAAAGAGCGAATGTTGCGTTTGACGTTGTCGGTCACCAGAGTTTGCTTCAAACACCTTGATTCTGATGTTAATGTCAATATGACAATTACACCACCAATCCAACTCTGGATCAATTCAAGCGACATCACCAAACTGGTGGTTTTGACCATCAATCCAACTCTGGGTCAATTAAAGTGACATCCACAACATTAACCAAATGGTGGTTTAACGGCAAAGCCAACAGGCCCAAACTTTGAGAACCAGGAAGACTGTGCTTCTCCGCTGAAGCGACGTTCAAATGCCTATGGGTCTCTCTCTAAATCGGGAACACCCAACAAAAAAGGCGGGGGTCAGGGAGGCGGAGCCCTCACTGTCACTTCTTTTTGTTGGGGTTCAAATTTTGCTGAAGATGAGGAAGCCACGCAGACGCGCAACCGGCCTGCATCATCCACTGAGGGAAAGGAAAGGCCTCCACCTCAATCCTGGAGATTTCGTGGAGCGAAAGCGGAGAAATGGTGGCGTGAAAAACCTTGGTCTCCCTTTGAAATGAGCGAAAAACCGAGCGGCCTCAAAGAAAGACACATCCATGTCAAAATGTTATTCAGATATCCTGTGGACACTTGGACATGTCCGCCCAACCAGTGAGCCATCCGACCAACCGCATCGTGCGGTTCCCAGCTGATCAGTGGTATGGTACATTGTGCGCTGTTCTGCGCCATGTTTGGCCTTGCCTTGGTACCATTTCATCTTTTAACGCCTGGATAACAAAATAAACACAAGGAGTCGTCTGCTTGTGTGGCTAGAGGCAGAAACGTACCTTCACAAAATGCCATTAAGGTAACCCTAACAGGCTCCAATAATTGGTTCTACGATGCTGCACACAAATTGGAACCCCTTGATTGGAACCACAGTGCCCCTGAATGCAAAGTGTTGCTTGCTGGCTCAACGCCAATCTGCACGGCGGCCAACCTTCTGTTCGCTGCATTCACATCCGCTTTAGTGCTCAACTTGAGAGCCCTGACAAAGGTGTCGTCTCTCAAAAGGAACCCATGTCTGAAATGACGACGGTTTTCTTTTGCGGAACCCTGTCAAAACCTGCCCCAAGGCAGGCTGTTCTGCCTTGAGAACCCCCGGCCCCCCCCCCCCCGCCAAGAGCGATACGCGAGCCCCGCTCTCCGACTCTCCTGCCGTAGCGATACGTGCAGACGCAGCCCCCGGGCGCCACCATCCAGGCCGTCTTGCGGGGGATGGGGCCATTGGGACCCTGGCCGATTCGCAGGTCGAACGAGCCCAGGCCGAAGACCAACAATAATAGACCATCCTGGAAAGGCCCCCTCACTTCACACTCAACCTCCGACCAGCCTCCGGCTGCTTCCAATCGGTGCCATCCTTGATGGTGCTAAAGTACTGCCTGGCGTTGGCGACGGACTGGCCAAAATACAGGCCGCAGCGAATTTGCCAATGTTCAGGGGGCAAGCCGCACGGCTGTGCAAAACAAGCCACATCTGATGTGGGCGCCTGCACGATTTCACATCCCAGCATGGTGGGCCAATCCAAGTGGCAAAAGTGTTTGACTCAGAGGCTTTCAATTTCCAGACCCATGGGCAGTTTCGGCAGCCCATATCCCTGAGCCGAGACTTTGACCGCACTTGGTCTCTGCCCTGAATCGACACACCCCAGCGACCCGGTGAGGCCACTGCAGGATATCCATTCGGGGGGAAGCGGCCTGGTTTCAGCCGTGCACAGATCTCAGGGCCCATGTTTACACCGGGAAAAAAAGGAGGGAAACCCCAAAGACCCAACCCAGGAATTTGTGGATATTTGGGCCTCAGGCCATTTGGTTGCCCAGGACTGCCCTGAGTGAATCGCTTTGCTGAAGCCGTGGAGAAGCACGTATATGATTTCGAGGTGCGGGTGATCATCTATGGAGCAGGAAACAAAGCCATAATTCCGCAGAATGCCATAACAATATACATCCAAGAATACGACGAGCAACTCTGAATCGTCTCAAAGGTCCATGCTTCATGCAAGCCCCTGCCGTTTGCCGGTCACCTCAAGGCCCGCCCAAGATTGCAGGGCTGCTCGGGCCCCAAATCTGGCCCCGAATCCGGCCACCCAAATCCGGCCACCCAAAAGCTTCCCTGACCGCCCGTGCCGCCTGGTCTGGTCCTGGGAGAAGGGGCAATTGAGAAAGGCCGCGAAGCTCCGCCGGCTGTCGTCGGACAAGACGTACTGCCAGCCCTCGAGTCCAGCGAGCGCGCGCCACGCGAGGCTGCTGAGCAGGCAAAATTGGAACCAAGAAATCTGGATCGTAACTCATGCGGAACAAAAATGTCTGCAATGATCGGATGGGTTCAGATCGCCTGTGTCAAGAATGGGATGATGAAAAACCGAGCAACCTCCTGAAACGAGTGCAGTCAGCCAAACTTGCATTTCTTGTTCTTTGAGTCTTTTCTTGGCTGGTTGCAATCTTCGACAAGAGTCGCACACGAATTGCAGATCGTCGCATGTCACACCCGATGTCCTGCAAGCATTTTCTGAAAGCTGCACATAACAAAGAAAGGAGGTGTTCTGCGAGTTGACTGGTGCAATCGCAACGCTGCTTCAAGAAACAGAGAGTTGGCGTCCCGTGCGTGGCAACAAAGACCATCAGCCAGAGTTCTGGACATCCGCAGACCGAAAGGACTAAGAGATGTGTACCTCAAAGACCGGGTCCCAAAGACCATCCCCTGACAACTTCCATTTCCTATCTCTTAAACGTTTGAAAAAGGGCCCAAAAAGGCACCACTCCCGGACTTGCAATGGGTCTGCAAGTGGAGAGAAAAAGGGGCCTTGGAACTCCGAAAGTCCTTCGCCTCCAGGCCGTTTGTTTCTCTTTGTTTTGCCCAAAAAGCCGCCTGAAAACGGGGCTCCTTAGATCAACCCTCCCGAATCCCTGTCTCGGGTCCCCGGCAGCTCCGCTGAGCTCACCCACCAGCTGCAGCCCCAGCTGCTGCCGCGGCTTCTCCCAGAGCGCCTGCAGGGCCAAGGGCGACGCTTGGAGTCCTGTGTGTCTTGAGGCACTTGCGGTTGGTGTCAAGGGAAACCAACAGGAAAAACCGACCAAAGTCCTTGTTGGGGGATCTCCCGGTTTTAACACCAAACCTGTTGGCTTCCCAACCTGAAAACGGGTTTGGACCCAAAGGGCACAAACCAATCTGTTCCCACATTCCCAAGATGGGGCCAGCGAGCTGCCACATAGCACCTGACCCAACAGGATCTGAGGGATGCAACGCCACCCTGGGCACTTGTCAAACGGCAAACAAATTGCTTCGCCGCCATGTTGCAAGTCAAGGACCCCATCATCTTAATCGACCCCCTCCATAATGCAACTTGGAAGGGGGCGGGCTCAGGCCCCGTCCTTTTTGGGCCCCCTCCATCCAATGAAAAAGGAGGGGGGGGTCCAAAAAAACAAATAGCGCCGATCTTGCCAAGGCGGTGATTTCGCCCACGTCGCCTTCCGCGCCCAGGAGCCCCCCGCCTCCGAGAACTTCTCCGGCGGCGGGCCGCTCTCGGGCCCGCCGGTGCCCTGGCGATCAATCCCCGAAGCGAGTCGCGAGGCAAAGGTCGGGACCTGGGTCTCACTGGGACCCGGCGATGCTCTTTCAGCTTCCTGGGCTCGGAGGAACTCTTGGAAACCTTGGAGCGCCTTCGGAGGTCGTGCCGTACCATCGCAAGTCGGCAGTCAAATTATTGGTTTCAAAGAAGCATGCTCAAAACGTTGAGAGGATCCCGTTATTTGCAGTAATGCTTCTGAGATGGTCCTAACGGATGCCTTCCAGTCTGTCTGGAAGTTGCGACCAACTCTTTGCAAAAGGACCTTGGCTTGGTCTAAAAATTGCCGTAGCAACATTTTGGTGCGCGAATCGGCAGCAAACCTCCGTCTCAGTTGATGTCTCTGTGCCCGATATCTGCCAGCATCTGACACCTTCAGCCCCTGCTAGGGCGACAACCAGATGTCAAAACGATGTTGTTCAACACTTGATTAAACCACCTCCTTTTTGGTCTTCCCTTTAAGGAGTACCTGGGTGTTTAACCCCCTGCCTCTTTTCTTTCGAGAAACCGAACTCCGGTGCTTCTGTCGTCTTGTCGCCTTGGAGCCGTCCTTCTTAGTGTGGCACTTGAAGCACTCGCTCTTCGAGGCAAAGACCATGGCGCTGCAGTTGGGGCACTTCCAATCTGACGCCAACGAGAAAACGCGCGGAGCGCGAAACGCCACGGGTTCAGCGGTAAGAGACGAGGGCGCAAGGAACACGGAGAAACTTGGTTGTGACACGTTGAATGGGATCGATCAATGGGTTCCGAAATGATTGTCCTTTGGCGCAAGCTGGAATCTGCTCATTGGAACCCGTTTAGGGTCTATACTGTGCACCTGCCTCAAGTTGCAAGATGTCAATCAAAGCTGCATGGCATGATCAAGAGTTTAGTGTCATCCACTTGTCAGGAGTCTGTATGAGGTGTAATGCGTTCTCGCTCATAAAATTCATACTCACCCTCCCTCAGCCAACTTGCACAAGGCCTCATATCCGAAAGGAGACACAATTTCAAACCTTGTTTCTCCCAAGTCTTCTGAGCCTCCCTCCCGCCAAACCCGGCGGGGAAGGCACGAAACACCTTGCGCTCTGCCCCTTTCCCGGCGCCTCCCGGCCGCTCGCCGCCGCCGGCGGCGCCCCCCGCAGCACCGCCGCCGGAGTCGCCGTGGGAGAACCGGCAGCGATCTCCACGGGTGCAGTTGCCTGCACGGCGAAACCATCCGAGTGGAACTTGGAAATGGGTATGGGTCAAAATTCAACCGGACAGGTTGAAGTCCATGTTTCCATTTACCGATCGGGCAAGCCATTTTGGGGTGACCCTATTTTTGAGCCACAGCCAAATGGAAACTCCGGGACTCGGGGAGCTAGCTTCCAAGTTGGCACAGTGGAACGAAAACACTGAGGTGAGACTCGGTCAGACCAAGGGAGAAGGCCGGGTCATCCCAGTGCTGGCTGTAGAATGGCCGCTCAGGGCACCTACTCCGACAGCACACGGTGTCAGAGACAGCGTTCCATTTCAAATACCCGGCACATTTCCCCGATACAAGAGCCGATTTCGAGCTTGGGGTTTGATATGGAACGGTTGGAGAATTCTCTAGGAATTGCTGGTCAATTGACTTGTGGAGACGCCTCTCATGAGTGACTTGAATGTGCGTCCACGTCTTTGGCAGTCTTTGGCAGTTCAGCTGATTGAAACTGGGTTTCCCTGCAAGTTGCCTGGGTTGTGATTGGTTGGGAAAAGGAAGGGAATCTACTTCATTTCTTCCCCGCCTTTTCGATCATGGATAGAAAGGCTTCAATCTCTCCATAGCATTTTCCCTAAAGCGCAAGGACACTGCCCAATCCAACATGCAACCGCGGCCCCTCTTTACATGCCATCGCCACGCCTGCTTGCATATTACATTTCTCATGCGTCTCTCTCGCATGCACTTGGAATGGCCTCGCTTGAAGTCACCACACTCCTCCCTTCCGCCACCCCCACCACCGCCGCCGCCGCCGCCGCCGCCCTCATGGGAGAAGCGGCATCTGTCACCTACGTTCAATGCATGATGGAAGCCCTTCACTGCTCATGCCCGTCATGCTGCCATTGCTCAACAGCTCACCAAAGATCTATGGATCACAAGCCTCCAGTAACTCGAAGCTTTCTGCGCACGCTTTCGGTGACTCGAAGCTTTGAGCACCCGCCTCTGTCACACTTGCCACGTCGAAAGTCGCCACAAATCTCTTGCCCACCTGCGTGGCAAGCGCCATGCGCCCCACCAAATGCCTGAAGAGCCTGGGGGCAATTTCCGGGCCCTATTTCAAACAGACTTCCAAGCTTGTCCACAGTAAACAGGGAACGGAGAAAGGAATGCATCCTCGGGGTGAACACGTAAGGTCAACGGTCAGTCGAATGACTCACATAAGCATCATTTTCCCTACCGCGCATAACTTTTTTGGCACCCCTGAGAAGCACTTGCACCCTCAGGCAGGCCTCGCCATGTCCAGCCCGGACAGTCCGGGTTCGACTCCAATAGTCCCGAGAAGCCCGAAATCCGTGACAAGTGGGGGATTCCCACCTATGACTTTCTCACTTCGGTGCCCTTATCTCAGAAAGTGGGAAACTACAGGGCTCATTGCAAGTCCCCAAATGAGAAGATCAATTCTCCTGGAGAGGTCCCAACCTGCCGCTTTCGGCCCTAAAAGTGAGGACGGACCCGGACCCACCGCAAACCCCATCCAAAGCCGCCTCTCCGGGGCGGCGAGCGCCGGGGCGGCGAGCGCCGGGGCGGGGTCCGCCTTCTTCGCGGCGAACGGCTGCGCCTGGCAAATGGTGCGGAGGTTTTCTGAGCTGATTGGGCCTCGTCTATTTTAAAGTTGGTACTCCTTGGTCTCTTATGGTTATACAAGGAAACCAAAAGGATAACCCCATGTTTGCGGAGTATTCCCTTGTATGTCAGTTTTGACCCATTTTGAGGTACCCCCAACAAAAGACGCACCCATTTATCTGGTGCCTTCAATGAACAGCCAGCCCTGACCCAACAACAGAGTCCCTTCCGATTCGGGGCCTGCACAAGGAGCAATGGCTGGTCAACACTTGTGATGGTTCATGGGAATTCGTCTGATTGACCCGCGAATCAGGGCCTACTCGCGTGGAACGCACCAAGATCTGAAAGGTTTCAAATGAATGTCTGTTGCTGTTGCTAAAGGTGTCTGAGAATAAAAGAAAGGACAGCTTTCTTGCAATCCAAAATATCCATTGCTCTGTTCACGAAGATCCGAAAGCAAACCAGGAATCTGCTGGTAGAGCCGCTGGAAATCTGCACACAGCTCCTGCAACCAAAAGAATCTGCATAAAAGTCCCGCGGCCGGTCGACGCACACAGCGAAGACAAAAGCCCCGGAGCAACAGGAGATGTAATTCGCCGAAATGAGGAAGTATGGGTCCGCAAATGTTGGTCTTCCTGGTGCCCTTTGACCCAAACCCGGAAGAGGCAAAAAAACAACAATGCTTAAGATCCCCAAAGGGAAGGTCTGTGCCCAAAAACAAACGGGGTACCATCAAAACAAGCAACAAAAACAGGCGTCACTAAATTTCCCAGAGAAAGATTATCAACTTACTAGTGATGTCAATGAAGAAAACGTGATTTTGGGAGGTTCCAAAAAGAACAATGGGTGTTTCCCTTTAACACCACCCCAGACCCGTACCCAACACCCAAATGGAGGCAACCCCGAAACCGGCGCCTCCGGTAGGACCGGCTGCGGCTGCGGCGCCGGGACCGGCTGCGGCGCCGGGACCGGCTGCGGCGCCGAGACCGGCTGCGGCGCCGGCCTCGGAAAAGCGCCCTGATCGATGTCTCAGTCCCATCGTTCAGACGTTGGTTATAAGAATAGTCTCGCAAATATAGTTTGGGTGTTTTGCTCTGTTTGTTTGGCCAGCTTCATGACTCTGTCTGGCATGCGATGTTGCAGTTTGTCCCACAGCCATGTTCTATGTATACTATATGTGTGTTATCAGTATTTATCATTGCTATTTGTATTGCTATTGCCATTAGTTCTGTGATTGTTGTTGTCAATATAATGCGGGAAAATGTCACTTGCTTAATGTGAACACATTACTCAAGAAGCACTGCACACAGCCTGATTTGACTTCAGGGTCAAATCACAAATCACAAACCAAGATCAGGAATACCCAAGTAAGCAATGTTCGGCAGGGGTGAGCTCGTTTTACCCCCCAGGTCAGCGCGTTACAATTGAAGTAGATTAATTCGACGTGTCACCGCATGAATTCACTTCAGCACTATTTGGCAACATGAAGAAAACCCTGCTCGGAATGCGGCAGTCAGGCAGCAAAAGAACATCGAGATGTGTGTGTGTGTGTGTTTGTTTGTGTAGATACAAACGCAGCTGCATTTGCACGGCACTCTCATCGTTCCTCTTTCTCCGATCTCAATGGACGCCATCGTTGTGGGAGTCATGGCAAGCGAATGGTGTGTGATATAGCGTGAAGTGTCTCAAGACCATGAAGGCGAAGAACAACGAGCCAAATTGGCAGTGGCCATGTTGGCTCACATTGCCAACACAGCTCATGCTATCACAAGCCGCCGCACGTAATCGCACATAGTGTATTGATGAAGCAGCAGAGAGAAAAGATTAATCTCATGCCACAGTTGACGTACAATATCACTGCGTCCCGGATGCTTCTCAAAGAGCAGTAAGAGACTCGTCCGTCTATTTGCTATGACTGGCAAGGCCACCTTGGCTTGAACGTCGCTACGAGGCCCGGCAGGACTCAAGCCTGCAGAAGCACATGCCAAGGATCGAGGAAGGGTAACGCATCAAATCCAGAGCTGCAGCTCCAGTCTCTGGCGAGGTCTCACTTGCACCCAAGAAGGCAGGGGCTTGAACCCCAATCCAAGGGCACCAAACCCCCTTTCGGCCCTTTAGAAACAAGGCCACACAGCCATCGCCAGCATTATCAAGTGGAGTTCCAGGCGGCTTATGTCCACTTCACTTTGACTTTTCAATCATTCTGCAGTAAACTTGACCAGACTTCGACCCTCAAAAAGTTGGGAAAAGGTCAGCTAACTCTGGCAAAGGTCCGCCCCAAAACTGCTGGAAAGTCTGTACTTCTCGGCACCCTCCAATTTGGTGATCCCAACTCAAAACCGATGCGCTGAACTTCGGGCCCAAGGCGCTGTCCCGACGGCGGCTCGGGCTCCGCTTCCTGCGCCGGCTGGGGCTTCGCTTGCGGCTGCTGCGGCTGCGCTTCCGCCGGCCTCGGGGGACGGGGTGGGGGCGTGGGGTTGGATCCTGAAGCATGTCCCTCAATCTTGTTCTTTGGAGGTTCCTGTGGTAGGTTCCAGTCTTGGTGATATGTAGATATGTATAAATCACAGCACAAATTGGCTACTCTATCGAGTCTGGTGATATGTGAATCACAAGACAGGTTGGCTACTCTATCAAAGGAAGTTCTGCAGGCCTTAAATGTGTCCTGTTCCTGAGGGGCTGCGGTTTCTACGGCATGCCTCCAAAACTAAGGGACCCTGTTCAAGCACTAAGATTGAAACCTTGTCGACTTGTGCCATACCACAAGCCAATAAAGCGTCACCTTCGTCATCCCGACATGGAGGATATTCAGACCAAAGGACTGCCCTTGAAATTCTGCCGTCTGAACTCAACTTGGCCTTTTGTTCCAGGTAGCACAACCAATAGGTACAGTCATGCCCCCTTCCCCCGAAGAAAAATGGGGGTCCGTGTGCCAAAGAGTGTGACTGACTCTGAACTCGTCCAGAAGTGATCCGGATCCCTCTCAAAATGGCACAGCCATCAAAAAATAACCGAGGCTTGATGAAGCCTGGCAGACTTGGACCCTGGCTGGGGCTGCGCCGCCCGCTTTTGCTGCGGCTCTTGCTGCTTTTGCTGCGGCTGCGGCTGCCTTGGGGCGGCCTTCCTGCGGCCAAAGGCTAGGTGTGAATGTAGCTGCAATTCTTTGCGCTCAAAACCGAAAACAAGAACTGGATCCCCAAGTGAAGGCCTTTCATGGTGAGCTCGTTTTCCCCGAGCTGAGCTCGCCAGATATATGAACCCCTAGTTGATGGGTCCAAAATGTCCATGGGATCAAGATTTGAACGCTGGATATTCTGCTGCCAAGATCTCAACACAAGCCGTGTTGCGTGGACACGGCTTTATTGAGTGCAGAGCCTCAAGCAGCATGGCGAAGGTAGACGTCAACGATTTCCCCGATCAGCTGCAAAGTGACCCAAGGTGTCGCCCAAATGCACCACCACACCTTCCCAAAACTCACTTTTCTTTACAATGAAACGTGTACATGCTCAAACTTGCGCACCCGAAGCAAAAGCTTGCTTACGACTGCCCCTCGCTTGCCCCCGTCCTGCTGGTGGCCTCGATTTTGCAAGTCGTTGGGAACAAATCTGGACACCAACTTTCGGCAGCAATTGGGTGGCCCTGAATGGGTTCCTTTCGTGTGCTACACATATGGTGGTCCTTTGGTACAAGCGATCACAACCCGTTTATGAGAACCCGTTGAACGGGTCCCCTGAGTCGCTTCGGTCGGACACGAACATCAAGCGCCATGATTGTGCAGCTTTGATCAGTCCAGCATGAGCATGGGCATGTTGTGCCAGAATAGGTGATCCTCCTTTTCACCAGTATGCTGGGCTGCCAAGTGCGTCACCCGATTCTACGTTCAACTCAAACATGCTGACATCTGCAAAGACAAAGGCTCGAACTGGCAAGAACAAAAGCAAGTCCAAAAAAAGCGGCGATCAGCCTGGAGTTTGACCAAATGCAAAAAACAGCAGACTCGCTCTGGGCAACTAGGTCGGCTGTGACCGGGGCGGCTGGCATCTCTGATGAAGGAAGCGATGACTCACACCGATTTGCGTGTCAGGCTGCCTGTTCCACGCAGCAACCGACAGACAATTGCCTGAATAAGGACTGCCACATTTTATCCCTCAACATCCCTCTTTCTACTGGGTCGAAGCTCTCTTTTTTGTCCAAGTAACTAGGAAGAAGCGGAGGGGCCGCACTCTCCACATAGAAGGAACTCCACAAATTGCAAGTGGAACGGCTTGCGTTTCCAGAAGAAGGGCTGAATGGTGAAGTCTCTGAAGTCTCCCGTGGCCCCCCGCGATTTCGCTCGTTCCGGCGGCGCTGGCGCCGGCGGCGCTGGCGCTGGCGCTGAAGGCGGCACCGCCGAAGGCGGGGGAACCCCCTGGGGCTGCGGGGGCGCAATGAACTCCGGAGGCGCCGGCGCCTGTGCCTGCCGCGTTGGAACATGGCGAGCCCCAAAATAGGTGGTCTACTTTTGGTGTTCCTGAAAACCACCCCAAACAGGGCAGCCTCAAGACACAAGAATATACTGGGGTGTGTGTGTGTGTCCACCCCTGTTTCCAAGGGATTCTTTTTGTTTTTGCCCGGCGGCTGAGCCTCGGCGATTTCGGCGACTTTTGCATCTTGGGAAGCCGCGTCGGTTTTTTGGGAACCCGTTTTTCGGGAACGTCCGCAGGGTACCTCCTTAGGCTTTCCCCAACTGAAATTCTTCTCGAGCCCTACAAAGCATGTCACCCGATCCAGGCTGAACACGCCTGAGCATCAGCTGTTTTCGATCTCTCTTTACCGATTCCCGTTTGTACAGCACTGAGGGTCAAGCTTTCACCAGCTGTAATCTCGAGTGCTGGGTGACATGTCACCCGATCCAGGCCGAATACGCTTGGGACAGTGGAACCTCGATTGCTTGCTTGGGTTTCTCCTTACCGTTTTCTAATTGTGCAACGCAGGGGGCCAGGAACCCACGGATGTCTGTCCTGGCCAACGAAGACCAGACATCGTGGGGGTGACAACGTACCTGCCTTTCCTTTCTCCTCCCTCGGTTTTTCCTTGGCATGCTCAGAGCTGCCCGCGGCCTGTCCGATATTTTGCTCGGCCTTTGTGGCTTTACCATTTCTCTCCTTGTCACGAGCGCTCTTTCGCGAAGCCAGAGGAACATTTAGGATTAGTCCGGAGAGAATGGTGCACAAGTGTGCTCACGCCGGTTGTTCGTTTAACGTCCCGGCGTTGGTGGGGGTTGCCCACCCATCGACTCGCCAAAAGGCATGAAACCTGATTGCTGCTTGCAGCCCTTGAGTTGACTGCTGCTTGCAGCCTTTGAGTGATTCCAGTTCCCGTAACTGGCCTGAATCTGATTGCAGCTTGCTGCCTCTGAAACCCACTGTTGACGCCTCAACCCTTCTCTGGTTGGCTTCGGCCCTCTGAAATTCTGTTTTCTTCGGACCTTTGAGTTCTGAGCCTCACGTAGGCAATCGGGTCTATGACTTGGAAGCAGCGCTGTGCCCAAGCAACGCGAAAAAGTGTAGACATGGCTTCGCAAGCCTCGGCGCCATGGCGGTCCGGCGACCAAAAGGAGTGGCAGTGGAACTCCCAAAAGTGGTCTGACGATTCATGGTCGTCCTGGAGCCATGACAATCAGTGGAGTCATTCCAAAGGAGAGCAGTCAGAACGGCGTCAGGACAGTGCGTCCCGAGTGCCGGAAAGAAGCTCTTGGAATTCCAGTCCCAGCGCGGCAGTCCCCGCGCCGAAGGCGCAGGCGGCACCGAATTGGGTTTCGGACGACACTTTTTTTAGACAGCAGCAAGGTGGGAGGACACCAGCTGTTTCGCACTGTGCAGGCAACAGCCTGGAGCCGTCGCCAAAACTTGGCAGGGCGCGAAATTACAGACTTGCGTCTGTATGAGTTGTCCCGCCACGGCCTTCAGGATTTTGGGTTGAGAATGTTATCCGAAGGCCGGTTTCAAGGTCTCATTTATACAAGGTCAGTGTCGGAATCGGTGTTTGTACAGGCGCTAGTCAAGAAATTGCGGGAGGCCCAAGTAGATCTGGACTCAGTTGCCCAGACGCTTTTCGAACCTGGCGCTGCCCCTGACAAACATAAGGAGGCAATGAAGTATATGCAACCATTGGTTCAGAAGGTTGTGCAGCCACTCCTTCAGATGGCTGCTAAGTCTGATTCGAACGTTTCTGAGGAACTCCTCCGGAGGGGTGAAAAGATGGAAGCCATGGGAATTCAGCTCACTCCTAAGAAGCGCTCACGTTCTGAAGAACGCGATAGCGAACCCGCTTCCAAGTCGATCAGGGCGTCGGAACCGATGCCCGAGTGCCTTCGCGTTCCCTTCAAGCCGATGACATCCCAACCCGAGGGCCATACTGAAGCTGTTGTTTCCCAATGGGTTGAAAAAGCTGTTGGGCGTTTGAACAAGGCCAAGGCAAAGCAGTTTTCCGAGCACATGCAAGAAGTAACCAAGTTGCTTCGCAAGCAAGATCGCTCGGTTTTGAAGCAAGCCGCCTTGAAATACGGCCTTGAGCCCAACCTGGCAGAAAAGATAACCATTCGCAACTTGTCGACCTTGCTGTCAGCCTGTCAATGTTTGGCAGCCTGACTAGGCCTGGAAGTGGAAAACCTCCGATGTGGCTCGAAGAAGCCATCTTTAATTCAAGATATTTGCACTTTGGGCTCAGCTGTCACATTCTTTTTGCATGAAGTCCCGGATGTCCCGAAAGAGGGCATTTTGTGGGCTCAGGGGCTCCTTCACCTCTTGTTGTTGTTTCATTTTTCAGGCAATTTCCCGCAATCGCACTCTGTGCATCTCAAAGAAAAGCTTGCAGAGATGCAAGTCAGGCCATCGAGCTACACATGGCCACAGTTTCAAGTACCCAACGCAGTGTACTGCAAAGTGCAGGTGGACTGGACACCGAGAAATGTTTACAAGCAACCTTCCCCCATGATGTACGTTGGAAGCACATCCCTCCGGGTCTCTCAGAGAGAGTGGAACCGGATGCAGTGGTCAGGAGAATTCAGACCAACCCCCATGTGCAGGCTGAACTGGCCATTCGGTATTGGAACAGCAAGCGGAATTTTCAACAATTTACGATCTTCAAAATCGCGCACTGCGCCGATTATCGGCAAGCCTGGGTCTTAGAACACCAACTGATTCAGCGATGGCAGCCAAGATTGAATTTTCCATTTATCTCCCGGTTCCTGCAGCGCAAAGCGCTGGGATTCCGCACTTCCTCTCAGCGCAGACGAAGTGTTGCGTTTCGATTTGGCAAACGATTGTGGGCGAAGCTTCGCAAAAGGCTATTTGGAAGCCGGCTACCTGTTTCCATTTGTGTATCCCGACAACAAGCTTGGGAATACGTTTTTGATCTTCAGAGTGCCACCAAGGCAGCTTTTGATGCCGCCCGTACCTTGCGCTCGGCGAAGGTCACTGATCAGGAGGTGTATGCGCTGCTCAAACTCACGCATGCGCTAGAACAGCCAGGGCGAGCCAAGGTTTTGGGTTTTTTTCGGTCTATCTGCAAGTTTCGCAACATGTCCTGGCCTGGGCAAAGCAGATCGCTCCAACTACCTTTTTTGGCACAAGACAGCTTTGCCGCGGAAGTTCAGCAGTGGCTAAAAAGCGAAGTGATCCTGCGATTTAAAGATATTCTCATTCCCTTTCATTTGCCTTCGCACAAGTTACGGGAAGCTGCCCACCCGTCGGTGCGTGACCAATTGTTCAATTTCCGCAAGTGGGAAACCAGGCTGGCTGAGCCGGGTGGTGTTCCGTGCACTTGTGATGCCCTCAGGGCATCTTTCCCTAGCTTGCACGATTGTCGAGGGCACGTCGCGGCAGGTCTGGAAACTTTGACCGAGCTTCCATCGCACTTGCGGCAAGTCACGGGCGCAAACTCCTTTTTCCCCAATAGGACGACGTATTTTGCTGAGCAAGTCCCTCGCTTTCGGAGATGGTGCCGTCAACATGGCATCCCATTGCATGTGGTTCAAGACTTTGAACGACTGTTAGATCGACTTTGGCTTCCTCACGCCACCGCTGTGCGCGAACAAGGGCGCACAGATTGGCGGGCCGTGCAGAAGATCCGGCATATTTTTGCACAGACAGCTGTTCTGCATTGTGAAGACCACCAACCGCAACATTTGATGATTTTTTGCCCCCGTGGATATTTTGATGGCTGCCTGGCCACCTGGAACGACCCCAACGTGTTCCAAGCTCTGGAGGGCACACAAGCCAGTTGGAGCCGTCAATTGCACAGTTTTATTCCGGGAATTATCCGGCGCAAATACTCCTGGGGAATCAGGAATGACTGCCAACTTCCGTTTGGATTTGTTCTGCTGAAGCGCAAGAAGTCCTTTGAGAAAGGACGGAGTATCATATCCTATCGTAGATCCGTGATGGAGGACTTGCTCCGTGGAACAGCCGCGGCGCTACAACTTATGGTTCGGACCGTGTGGCCTGAGGCCCTAGGGTTGGAATCTTTGCCACAGCTATTCAACATGCTGCATTTGTTTCTGCAAAGCACGACAGAGCCTTACCACCTTACGGAATGCAACGATGATTTAGTCGGATTTTTCAATGCAGTCCCGCAAAGGGAGATCATCCTCAGTGTCCAGTCTTTGCTTGAAGATTTTCGCCGACAACGTGGATCTATCCATATCTCCGTTGATTTGAGGTCCTTGCCAAATTTTGAGAGAGCCTTCCTGGGGAAACTCCGGCAAGGGACGAGCAAATACCGCAAACACATCGCCCAAGAGGACATTCCAGCCATTGCGCAAGCTTCTTTTGACACCGGCATTTTCTGGGCCGCTGGGTCGGTCCGGTCACAGATTGATGGAACGTCAATCGGGAACCAAATCAGTCCCGTGTTAAGCAGTCTACCAGTCTGCAGAGCAGAGATTGCTTGGAAAAGAGCTTTTAAAGCTCAGCAATTCCAAGCCGCTTTTCTCTGCCGCTATGTGGACAATCGAGTTGTCGTGGCCACAGAGAGCGATTTTCAAACAGAGGCACTGGAAGCCTTTACGGACTTGTCTTTTTATGGCGATCGGATTTGCCTTGAATCGGTCACTGACCATTCATGGCTGGGGTTCACTATCAGCGCTCCCAACCGTTCAATCGTGTACAAGCTCCCCAGCTCGCCCCACCAACTGCGCAGTTACCAGTCCGCAGGGTCATTGCGCTTGCGGTTGTCTGGGCTCCGTTCACGAGCCGCGTTAATCCGGAAATATTCATGGCCCCGTTCTGTAATTCAACCCTCCTTGCAGCAACTCCGACAGCTGTACCTGGAAGCAGGGTACCCCGAGCCCAGCCTACCCACAGTGGTCGCGCTGTCTAAGTCCAGCCGACCCTGAGTTCGGACTGTTATGTCTGTTTGTCGTTCTGTTGGGTCCTGTTTTCTGTCCTGATTGTGTGGAACAAGGGTAGGTTTTTCAGTTCTTTCAGTTTTTCGCCGGAGGCGCCTTTTTCAAGTTTAATCTGGCGACCCGGCCCACGCAACGCCAATTTCGCAAATCTGGCGCCTTTTTGAAGTAAATGGCGACAGACCTGACAGATCCAGCCAGCAGACCAGCGTGCTTGCAAAAGTTTGCATGCTATCCGCCGGACTTCCTTCTTAGTATGAGGTGACAGGTACTTCAATTTGCGCAGTTGTGCCTGTGCATTTCATCACGGCGCTACTCATTAAGGAAGTTACATTCCGTGCTGATCGGCGCGATTTTGAAAACTTGGGAGTATTACCCGGAGCCTTGGCTCGAGCCGCGACCCCGACGGCGCATTGTTTCGACACTGGCTCGATCTAGTGCACCTTCTGCGACGTTCCAGTGTGGAGCGCATGCGTTCGTCTCAATTCGTGTTCAATTTCTACACTTCCTCCGGGTCAAACCCGGACCCGCCACAGTTCTGCAGAAAGAGCGCCTTCAGGTGACCTTCCCAGATCTCTTCCTGCCCCGCCCGGCGATTTCACCGTCCCTCCAAGCCAGTTTGAAGACCCAATTTCTCCGCTGCGAAGCGGCCCAGTTCCCAATGATCTACGGGAAACCTCGCGCCGCCGCAGGGACCATCGAAGCCCCCGCGAGCGCCGCCGTAGATCCAGGTCCAGGTCCCGAAGGCGTAGGGGTAGCAGGCAACACCGATCCAGAGACAACTGATATCTCGACCGAAGAGAGCATCCTGCTTCAGTGAGCCGAGCTGATGCAATTCCAGCTGGGCCAAATCCGGCCGCCTGGCGTTTGGGCCGTTCCGCCAAGAACTTCTGGGTGTTTTCCACGTCCAAGGCCACCCATGCACCCACCGCAGAGCAGTGGCCATGGCAGTGCTGCGCCTTTATTTGCTAGGCCTTCCGTTAGTGTCCCTCCAACGATGCAGCGGCCTCGAATCCCCGCTGACCCACCTAGGCGTAGGAGTGCTAGTGCCCATGATGCTGAAAGAGCCAGGTTTCCGGAACAAAACCTAAGTTTTGCCCTGTCCAGACGACGTTTTGACGCGATTGCGGCAAAACCAACTTCGTTCCAGTCTGCGGGCCCACTGGAAGTTACCCGCAGAAGCGGAGCAGCTTGTGTCTCAGGCAGCGCGAAAAGCGTTTGTGCAGGAGCACAGCCTGTTGACAGCCCATCAATGGGAACATGAGTTTGGGAAGCGCAAAGGCCATTTTGTGCGGCTGGCTAATCCCTCTGAACCGTTCGACATGGTGGAGTCCGTTCTAGACACGTTTGTGTCTGCCGTGGTGCAAAGCGCCATTCCATATGAGCAAGTGTTCCAACATTGCACCGTTCATAAGGCAGAGCAGGATGAAATCCTGATCTGGCGATTCCCCATCAAGGCGGGGACCTTTCCTACACCAGTGAAGTCGCCACCCGCCGCAGGAGACAAATCCCTCCGGTGGCTGCATTGGGGATCCCAAGAATCCATTTTGGGTCTGTTGTTGGCGGGTTCTATTTGGCCATCTTCCCGTGAAGGGATTGGCATGATGCAAGAGAACGGTTTTCCCCTTGGTTTCTTTTGCCGTGTGCAAGAATCGGATCACACGCCTGCCTCAATGGCCGCAATGGCCACCCAATTGTATTGGCATGGAAAGAACGTGGCAGGCATAGGGGCCATGGGACGTTGGGATGGGTGGTACCATAAGGCCACTTGTGCCAACACTCACATTGAGCAAAGGGCCCTTCGACATCATGAGTGCGTCAGATCTGCTTCGAAAGATGGCAGGTACTGTATGCGGTCCGACTGTACATCCGTTGACACCATCTTTTTGGCAGCCGAAGTCCCCCTGCATCTGCAGTCATGGGGCCGATATAAATCAAATGAAGGAACGCTGCCACATTTCCCACGCCCGGCCATTCCGCATGTATAGGCACGCTGAGTTTCACCCCAGCCTTTGCACAGTTGACCTCCGAGCCGCTCAAAAAATAAACCAGGCTCACGCTTGACGCACTTGCACAATGCGCTTGCCAAACATCAAGCGACAACGCGCCAGGTAGACCAACCGGTGCTTATTCCGCCCTAGTGGCTCACTGTGTGTGTCCACCCCTGTTTCCAAGGGATTCTTTTTGTTTTTGCCCGGCGGCTGAGCCTCGGCGATTTCGGCGACTTTTGCATCTTGGGAAGCCGCGTCGGTTTTTTGGGAACCCGTTTTTCGGGAACGTCCGCAGGGTACCTCCTTAGGCTTTCCCCAACTGAAATTCTTCTCGAGCCCTACAAAGCATGTCACCCGATCCAGGCTGAACACGCCTGAGCATCAGCTGTTTTCGATCTCTCTTTACCGATTCCCGTTTGTACAGCACTGAGGGTCAAGCTTTCACCAGCTGTAATCTCGAGTGCTGGGTGACATGTCACCCGATCCAGGCCGAATACGCTTGGGACAGTGGAACCTCGATTGCTTGCTTGGGTTTCTCCTTACCGTTTTCTAATTGTGCAACGCAGGGGGCCAGGAACCCACGGATGTCTGTCCTGGCCAACGAAGACCAGACATCGTGGGGGTGACAACGTACCTGCCTTTCCTTTCTCCTCCCTCGGTTTTTCCTTGGCATGCTCAGAGCTGCCCGCGGCCTGTCCGATATTTTTGCTCGGCCTTTGTGGCTTTACCATTTCTCTCCTTGTCACGAGCGCTCTTTCGCGAAGCCAGAGGAACATTTAGGATTAGTCCGGAGAGAATGGTGCACAAGTGTGTGTAGGGTCCAACTCCCTATTTTGACACACCTCCGGTGCAACTTGCTGTGCCAGCTTGCCACCCAAGGTTTCAGCCCTAAGCTTCGAGCTTGGGCTGTTTCCCCTGCATTCGGCGCAAGAGATTTGAAGATGATCCACAGAAGGTGCATGTGGCCGGAAAATGCCGGAAATCCCCGCAGCTTTCCTGCAAAAGACCTCGCGACTTGCCACAAAGGTCCGTGAAGGCAATGCCGCATGAATCGAATCCCGTGGACACCAAAAACATATGAAGGCCACGTATGTCCGCCATTCTCTTTTCAGGGTATGAATAAAATGCCTAGGCAATGAACCTTGGTTCGTGCCGCAAGCCCCCCACGCCTTGACCTGGACGGGGGGGGCCTCATTCTGCAGCCAGCTGTACTGTGCAGGCCCTGTCCCCCGCTGCTCCTGGCCACGCGGAATGGCAATGCGGATTCGCCTCAAAGCACACCCAGTGAAAGTGTTGGATGGTAGTCTGAAAAGCAAAGCCAGGGAAATGCCACATCAAGGTATACACACATGCATATACACTTACATATATATATATATGTATCTAAGTGTGTATATATATATATATACATACATATTGACAATGATATGTATACATGATATACAGCTCAGTGCAAAAATGAAAAAGATAAAATCCCAACGAAAACCTACCTTGCAGAATTTCACCTGTGCGACAGGTAGCTCAGGCAAACTCTGAAGTGTCAGTCCACTGATTGAGTCTTTGGCTGGTTTCTTCCCGTCCATTTGGGTGTCTCATAACATGCGGGGGAACAAAATTATTGTTTTTGAAAGAACAATCGAACATACCTTTTGAGCATACCCTAGTCCCCCGATGAATTCAGACTATCGCCAGGAGCTCTCAGAGCCACCCCCAATTTGAAGCCGGACATCCGGATCATGGTGCCTTTTTTGTCAGAAACCCTTGGTAAGCCCAAAACCCGTCTCCTCCCCAATGCTTGGGGGGGATTTTTACGCCGTCCTGGAGCCGCTGCTGCTGCGCCTGCTGGGCCAACCTAGGAGCATATCAGAACAGCAAATGGGTATGGGTCAAGACTAAACCGAAAGATTTAGTCCTTGATTCCATTTACCAGGTCTCCACTTTGGGCACCCGTTTTGACCCACACCCAAATGGGCATGTGCTATAGGGGACCTTGATGTAGGTGATGCTGTGGGAACTCAAAAGCATGGGCGCGCCACAAGGATCGATCTAGGGATTCCCGTGTTGAACCTGGGAAACGTTTTCGAAGTCATTTTGCAAACAGGGCTTCCCTCCAATTGGTATAGCCCTCCTTTTGATGATTCACGTAAAATTTGAAAACGTGAAGAGCGGAACCCTCAAATCTTGTCACAAAGACTTCATGACATGTGCCACGGTCACAAAACTCGCACCGGCTAGTGGAAAAGTGGAGAGCCCAGTTTGGGTATGTCCTCAATGGCGATTTTATCTGAACCGCACGTGCCGCCTACCCGCTCCCAGCCCAAATCAATCGACTTGGAGCGAGCTCGCGTATGTTGCTGGTCGTCAGATTCAAAAGGAAAAAGCCAGTACATGCCCATGTGCTCCCTGCAGCCCCAAACACCCCGAAACCTTGCACTGTCAGCTGTACAAGGGCAGACGGCCAAAAGGAAAAGGAGCAAAACCTGCAACAGCAGCCAGGATGATGCAATCTTGAATGTGCCAACAGCTGCCTTCTTGTTGCTACAGTTCAACATGTTGCAAGGAATCCGGAAGTGACGCAGGTCTTCACTGACTGACAATCCCATCGCTGGCAGTTGAAGTTAGTTTTGGCAGGTAGCGGCTACTACCAATTCACTGTGCCTCTTGCCCTGTGTATTGCCTGTCCCCCCATTTCATTGGCAAGTTGACACCGCCTTTCTCTGGCATTGTCTGATCCAGCTGGTGTTTGCATTTCAGTGAGAGACGCGGAAGCGATGCCAAAATCACGCTGCCTCTTACAAATGTCGCCTCAAGCCAGCTCTCAACTGGACACTTCAGCCGCGGCTCTGCTGCATGAGATCCAATGACGACTCCTGGGGAAAAGCTGCGCTGAACATCACTCCCTGGGTGGCCTCGAATGCTTGCCGTAGGATTCCACTCATAACGAGATACGACACTGGAAATTCCCTCGACTGGTTGAGCAATCAAAGAAAGAAAGAAAGAAAGAAAGAAAGAAAGAAAGAAAGAAAGTAAAAAATGAAGCAAGAATACTGAAATCACGGGAGTGCAATTGAGAGGCGGAACTCACCGCGCCTGCGCCTTTTCGGGGCTCTTCATCTGGCCGATGAGCTTGTCCTGCGTCTGCTGTAGCCTCCTCGGACGGCCATGATCGGCCAGGATCCATTTGGGCATGTGTTTTTGGAGGGAAACCATTTCGGCTTGGTTTGCATGGAAACCACAAGGCAAACCACCATTTTGGGGCGGTACCACTATTTTGACGCACAATTACCCACTTGCCCATTCTCCTGTCCTCCCGACAACGCAAAGGGTCATGAAAATCGAAACTAAAGTACTTGCAATCTGAAGTGTGTGAACGCGCGGACCTGAGAATCATCGAAGACATCAAGCAGATTGGATCTGCGGATTTATCACCGATCCGGCGGTGTCAAGGGGGTTCCAAAGCACCAGAAATTTGGTGAATCCCGCATGCAACTCTGAGGCCTGCCGCTCGGAATTGCAGCCCAGGCGCTCTTTCAACATCTCAAACCTCGATGTGGCGCGTCTCAGCGGCTTGACACGAAATGATGTGTGATGACTTTGGATCTTTAGGGTGAAAGATCCTGACGTCAAATGAAACAAACGCATCTCGTTCATGGAGCTCATGGAACATGCAATAAGAACAATACTGATGTGGCTGCCTGCATCAGCAGCCCTGCAAGCTTCAGGCGTCTAAGCCACAAACTGTTGCATGAAAGCACCAGACACGGGCATGGGCGGCGCTGGAGCGTGCCCGTTCATGCATCCAGCCTCAATGCCGCGATGCCAGCAGCGACAGCCATCAACTTTACACTTGCAAAGCACATGCTGAGATTCTGGCTCCGTTGCAGGCACCGCAGGCACCGGGACATCCACAAGGACGACAGCCACCCAAGCACCCACATCCACTGCACGGGCTCGGACAGCTGGGGCAGCTTGGACAACCTGCAGCCTGGCAACCACATCCATTGGAACAGCTACCGCACCCACAGCCACAGCCGCCACAGCCGCCACAGCCGCCACAGCCACCACAGCCACCACAGCCGCCACAGCCGCCACAGCCGCCACAGCCACCACAGCTGCAGCCACCGCAGCCGCAGCCACCGCAGCTGCCACAACCACAGCCGCCGCATCCACAGCCACCAAGCCCAGGTCTAAACCCTTGGTTCGGAGCTGGCGGGCCCGGCCCTGGGCCCGGGTTACCGAAGCAGCCAGGACCGCATCCCATTCCGCGGCCCGCCTGCAGCGCTCATCCAAGTTTCTGCATCAGTTGTGACCGACCTTCCTAGCAGAAAATCACGCATCTGCCATCTGGTCAAGGAGCTTACATGGAACGCACAAATCGAAATATGCGGAACGCTGTCGTGATTGCTCTCTCAAGGACTGTGACATTCCCTGAGACCCAGCCTGCATTGGCGGCATGGCGAAGGACTGCATTACTGATCAAGCGTTCCGGTCATGCAGCCCCTGAAGTTTCATCCAAGCCAGCTGCACAATCCCCGGTGGGGAGGTGTTCGGCATGAAGAAGTAGCTTAGTGGTTGATCTCTTTTTTGTGTTTGTGCTTCAAGGTGTTTCGTTGTTTGATCCCATGGTTCCTCCATGTCTTGCTCCCAAGTCGCATTTGAGCCACTTTGGCAGCAACAGGGCACGAGCAACCAGAAAGGCATCTGAAAGTGCAAGAGCGAAGGGAGGCACATTTAGAGTCAGAACAATATTATTTATCAACAATAGCACTAAACTGGACATGTGTCACCTTGTTGTTATGTGACCATTCATGCAACCAACATAAGATTATTTTTTAAGATCACTCTCAATACCCCAAAGCATTTGGACGGGTGCCAAACAAGCAGGAGTCTAGTCGCTTTGCAGCAAATGAATGATCCTCACTAAAGTAACATCTTTTGAGATCGGCCATGGGTGTGCTAAGGCTGGATAAACTTGGTAGGGCGATACATGGGCAAACTAAACATTTCTCGAGCAAGGTTTACGACGTTTGTCGCAAGAACCTGCAAACACACAGTCATGCCACACAACGCCGCAGTCCGGCTTCTGCCAATGGAACAGACTGCATCTTTCTGGGTTCAGCTGCAGCCGCTGCACCGGACATAAAAGTCGGCCCGGACAAATCGTGCCCCCGGCGAACATCCCAATCCAACCACTAAAATAGGTTCTAAAATGGGTGGTGAATTCACCTACCCCAGAATGGTACCATCGGTTTTGACCACCCATTTTTGGGGACGATCCAAGGCCGAAAGACTACTCACAACAAGATGGAGCCGCAAACGTCTTTGGCGATCAGGGCAGCCATAAAAGAGGTGAATTCTTCGTAGGAACGTCGCCCTTGAAAAAAAGTCAATGCTCCGCCAAGGCAAGGATGCAAAAAGGCAAAAAAGATTCAAGTGAAAACACATTGCTAAAGCGATTTGTCTCAGCTCACCCCGACGCAAAGTCCGCGAACAGCAAGGACGAGCGTACTGAAGTGCACCATCGAAGGAAAAAAGGATCACTCGATTGTTTTTGGTTGTTTTTGTTTATCCATGCAGCCAATCGCGATCACGCAGGTCCGCTGTTTCAGCACAGAGAAACTAATCAAAAGAAGCCGAGGGAGCCAACAAAGCAAAACGGAAAGACGGGTTCTTATCACCTTCAAAAGTCGCATGGGAGACGGATGCCTTGTGGAGGCAATTTGCATCAAATTGAAAGTTTAACTGGAAACTAGCATTTCTTGTTTGTGGCTTGCTGCAAAAGAAAAAGAGCATTTTTGATTGTGCAAGTTTTTGCAATTGGAAGTTGAGCAATTCTTGCCAAAAAGCTTTTGTGTCCAATTGAAAACACCTTGAAACAACCCTCCAAAACTCCTCCAACCAGGCAGGAGAAAGAACCAAGCTCAAGCAAGATACCAAGCATGACTGCACCACGCTTGCAGTTCGCTGTGAACCAACATGGTAATGATGAGCCTAAGATGTCTTCGCCCGATCGCTTGTTGTTTGTGCCCAGCCTCATGGTTCTTGTTGACAGCATATGCAAAGAGTGCACAAAAACTGCCGAAGCAAAACGAAAGAGTGAAATGGGGGGGAGAAAAAAAACAAAAAAAAACAAAAACGAAAAGAGCCGCTCACCAAGTAGTTCTGGCGTAGCAGGTTTCCAGCTAAGTAACTGAAGCATTCAAGCATCCACCATTGTTCTCCCGCATTTACCTGGGCCACACTTGCCCCAAACTTACCGTTTTCTTTTGAACCACGCGGCCGTTGCGATTTCGCCAGTCCGCCGTGCAAGCGCAAAGAATGATAAGACAGAAAAAGTGTCGAAGTACAACCAACACACCCAACACCAGCAAGCCACAGCACAAGCAAACACAACACCCACAAAAGTATTCGACACAAGGGAGCTTAAAGCTGCCCAGTACCAACACTGGAAAGCTATTGGCGAAATGTAAAAAATACGAACACCGATTCGGAGACGGAAGTCTCAACAAACCAAGAACTCCAAGTAGCGACATCGAAAGCCACGTGAGTCACGTGAGTGCCACAACTTGTCTAGCTCGGAAACAGATGCCTCAACAAACCAGCAGAAAACAACTCGGCCAATTAGCCACACAGAAAGACAGAACTCGAAGACAAGGCCGAGAAACAGGAGTCTCAATTGACCATCATCGGTAGGAGAGAGAGCCGAAGCACATCTAAGTGAAACCGAATTCGGGTGAAACAAATGCCCAAAATTCAACGCCGTGCAAACGCTCAAACCCACGAAGTGTCGAAGCAAGCTCTTCAATGCATCACTGAATCCGCACCAACGAAACTGTGAGACAAGGGCAGTACTGAATACGGATACGAGAAATGCAATCTGTTGGTTGCACAACTCGCAGTCATCATAGCGACTCGCAAAGAAATAGCTCGGGGAACAAAGTCACGAGAGCATTCCTCCATTGCAAGTTTGGACAGTGTGGATAGCCTGTGTGCTCACGAAAAGCTCCGCGAAAACATCATGGCTAGCGTGGCCGCGAGACGACCAGCGCCGAGCAAACTCGTATACGCTCACGGGAACCGTAGACAAACCGGAGACGATGATAAATCGGGAGACCCGGCAGTGCGCCAGATCGTCGCGTGACAGGCCAGTACCACCACTGTAAATCCAGGAATACTGCGGTACCTAAATACAGAGCTGAATCGGCGCCCATATGGCCACAGCACGAGAAGTCACAGAAACGTCCCGGCTGCGTATCAGCAAAGCATTGTAATAAGCCAAGTGAGTAGCAAAGAAACATGTGGCAAATAGTCACTACACAAACTGCAAATGCCAAATAAACAAATAAGACTGGATCGGGAGCGACCCCGCAGTACGCCAGAACAATAAAAAAAAAACAAGAATGTCACAAAAGCTTCCCGGCTGCAAGTCAACAAAGAACCTAGAATAGGCCCAAGTATATTATTGCAAGCGCCACGGCAAACCTCGAGCCATCGGGAGCGACCCCGCAGTACGCCAGTACATCGCCATACAAATTGCAATAGTCGTAACCATTCGCAAGAAGACCCCGGATAACAAAGTCACGAAAGCAGTACTTCATAAAAGCATTCCAAATACGGCCTGTGTGTTCACGAATATCGCAGCAAAAACATCATGGCAAGCGTGGCCGCAAGACGACCAGCGCTGAGCAAACTCGTATACGCATACGGAAATCGCAAACAACCCAAAAACAATAAAATACCGGGAGCGACCCCCGCAGTGCGCCAGATTCTTCCAAAGTCGTGGCCGGCCACCACCACTGGCTCGCGGAGAGGAAAGGGGGAATCGCTCGGGTCTGAGGCAGATGCCTCCATCCTGAAGTGCAGAGGCAGCGTGTCACGGAGCAAGGAGGCCAGGCGCAGTGCGGAGGAATCGCCAGCCAAAGAAGAGGCGGTGGACCGCCGTTTTTTTGCGGTCGGCGCCCCCCCATCCCAGAGCGTCGAGGGCGCCGACAGCCGAAAAGCCGAAGAAGCGGCCGCGCAGCCGGAAAGCCGGCGCCGCCGTCCGAGACGCCGTCGCCGCCGTCCGACGCGCGGGTTGCCGGCCGATGATGGGCGATGACGTTGCCCCCAGGCGCTATCGGCCCAGCGGCTCCGTGGGTGGATTCCCCTGCTGTGGTTCAGGACTCCTGTGAGACGACCCACAATTTGCGGGTCAGACCCACACAAAGCATGCGTCGCAGTCGTGATCAAAACAGTCCTCACACACGGACTTGCCACACTTTCGGTATGGATAGCGAGGTTCTCGATGACCTGGCTTGTGAGCACACTCAGGGGCAGATCCAGCACGTGGGGTGGGGGGGCTTGTTCTGGAAGAATCCCTGCCAAACACGGGGGAAGGAGACGATGGAGGTGGCCCAGAAAGAGGGAGGTGGTCTTGGAGTACGTGATGGAGACCACCGCCGTGCTTCCGATCGCGACCAACAGAGAAGGTCTGATGAGTGGGAGAAGGAACCAAATGCTGGATGTACGTCTTGACGTTACCCCGAATCGTCCGCTCCTTCGCAAGGGTTCCTTCCATTTCAACGACGCTTCGAGAGTTGGCCTCGGCTTCGCCGTTGATCCTTCGAATCTCAGCCTCAAGTGCCCCAATCTCAGAAAACCTGAGGAGCTGGACCTGGGTAACTATTCTCAAGGGATTCGGGCTGCTCGCGAAGCTCTGCGGCCGAGATGATGACGGAATTGGACCTCTCGTCATAGACCTTGAAGCGATCATTTATCTCTTTCTGGCTCCGCCCAATCCACTCGTTAATATCACGGAACGCGGAAAAAGATGCCTCAACTTTCTTTTCAAAGGTGTCGATGCGGTTGTTCATCCTCTTGATCTCGCCGACACAGGCGTTGACGTCCTCTCTGCACGACCGGATCTCGGTCCTGCAGCCTGGGTCTCAGCCTTGCACCCTCGGATCTCGTTGTGGATCGCGAGAAGTAGCCTTTGAAGTTCAGAAGCACCTGGATGAGGAGTATCAGACAATGTAGCAGGTGCAGGGCGACTATCTGCACCACGTTTTATCCGGCGTCCTGTTAGGAGTGCCGATCTGGAAGAACGCGGGCACGATAGCATCCGTGAGAGGATGAGGGCAGCCGACCACTGCCGGCGATTCCTGCCAGTCATGATGATGTTGGAAAACAGGTTTAAAGAGGTGAGGCAACCAGCCAAGCCCAGGCAGCCTTAGCACAACACTCCAATCACCTCCTACCACCGGTAACCAACCGCTCCACGAACCGCGAAGAGGCAAGCCGCCGCCGTGGTATGGCAGTCGCACGAGTGTCCTAGAGCAGCCTGTCGGGAGACAGGAAACCTTGAGCCAAGCGGCCATTTGGCACGCATGGTTTGTGATAAAACAATACGTGAACTAATAAACACACATTGTATAACTCATTACAAGTAAAACCATATATGCCTTAAAAAAAATAACTCATATTTCAAAATCGAATCACTCATACTAATCAACACAAAACAAAAAATCAAAACTAATTAAAACACAACACATATCTCAAAACAAATCAAAAACAAACTAGCCAAAACCAACAGAATATTTAAAATTATGTCGTATCAATCAAAATACCTTATTTGCAACCATTATATTATATAATCTAAGAATTCCTTATCATTATCCGATACTTTCATCCTTTTCACATATGTATTATACAATTTCAATTAATATATATGTTTCAAAATATTAAAAAATGGTTTTGAATTTATTGAATTAATGTTAATCATTGTTAATATGACTATATACATAAATATATAGTCAATGAAATTGAAAAAATATCAATATGTATGTCTGATTCATATTTTCCCCAAAACCTGTAATTAAAATACTACTACTGCACAACCTATTATTTACAATCTATCATTTATATTAATCATACAAATGAATATACTCATTCCCATCATCCTTAAACTTTCCAAATATAATACAAGCAAAATGAAATTCGCCCCCAATTTGTCTTTGTAAGAACGTAGTAAATCATACACTTCGTATTCAAACTAATCATAGATTAACCCTCTCTAACAACGAAAATACACATAACATATCGAAAAATAATTGCTCCAACTAACAACAGAGAAAGGAAAAAACTCACTGAGCCTGTTTTTCATGCCATACGCTAAAACAAGAATGCCTCATTAGTCCTTCCATTTCCCTCAAGCGGGAATCAAAAAATCATCCCTCAACCTGGAGGAGCTTTTGTGGGGCAGCTCCTGTGGAGGCTGCCGCATCCAGCATGGCGCCCGCTATAACATGTCATCAAAGGCAAGGATTGCCAGCATGCTTCTCTAAGCGAATTATAAGCAATAGGGAGCCTCTTAACCTTTCCTCTGCAAAGTCGGTTTTTTCCTCCAATGCATCAAAGCAGCTCGTAAGTCACATCATATCGGCTTGGCATTGCAAAGCAATACCACTAGCGCAAAGGCAAATCAGTTGACGCTTGACTCCTTGCATGTCGTCACTGGCACTCACATATGTCAATGCCTGTCTCCATTTCTGGCATTGCATTGCGCACACCGCAGCCCGGTACATGTCTGGAAGCGATGCAAAAGCTTCCTCTGCTCGTCGCCAAGCATCCCAAGCTGAAACATGCTTGTCACCACCTGAAGACAAGAATGTCCAGCATAAGGCAGCCTGGACCCCCGACCCACATGGAAAACGTAAGGAGCCCAAACGAAAGTCACTCGCAACGGAGGCAAGGACCTTACGCAAGGGCCCTCTATGGAGAATTGGATAGCACTTGCTCAAATCCAACAGATCCTTGACAAATGTGGTCGCTTCTGTCGTTGCCTCTGCCGCATGCTCTACATCCCCGGCAAACAGGAACATCCGGCCAGCCTCCGCGCACTGTGCATGATGACTTTGTATTTTTGCAAGCTGGTGCTGCAGCGCTTCCTCTGCGCTACCCAGGGCTTGGTCTGCCTTTGTCAGCAAGCATTTGAAGTCAGCCTTGCGCACCTGGCATAATTTCTTCCCAAGTTCCGTGCGCAGGGGCTGGAGCTTGCCCTGCAACCCTGGCATTTTGAAGGACTGAAATCTCTGAAGCGCATCACGAGTGAAGCAACGCAGCACCAGCCGCGCCCATTTGCGCGAAATCGGCTCTTGCTGCATGCATGTGCAGCATTTGAACTGTTCTTCCCCGCGGTTGCATGTGCATGCGCCATACATTGCACGCGCCGTCCACGCACAGTAGGTCACCAATCCTGCGCGCTGTTGCCACGCCTCTTGCCAGGCGTCAAACCAAATTGTCCAGGGGGAATGCAAGTCATGTAAAGATAGCAGGCGCTCGCGTTCGTCCAGACTCTCCTTGACCCTGCTGAGATCAATCCGCTGCGTCGCAGTCATCCACTTCAATCCCGCTTTGCACTGGACAAGCACCTCGCCACAAGTGACTTGATCCCTTCCTGCTTCCCGCAGACTGTGAAACACAAGACTGACAGTTTGAAAGCTCAAGCAGGCCTGGCGGGTATGACTCAAAAAGTCGGGGACCTTCCACAGGGGTTTGTTTGCGAATCTCCAGCCCTTTTTGAGCCAAGGTTGCCTGCAAAAGGGCGTGCCGGGTGGTGTCATGCTCCGCCACCCTCTCTGCCACAAGGAAGACTTGATCATAGAGAGCGATTCCTCCATCGACGAAGGAGAAGATCTGCTCCCACAACGCCACTTTCCGCAGCCTTCGCCTGAAATGCCCAACGGCTTAAGAGCATGAAAGGAAGACATCCATAGATGCCTGGTAGAAGATGGCCCTGGTAGAAGATTTGACCATTAAGTCAAAAAGGCATTTCTATTTGTTAAAACCACATCAACCAAAGAGGGCACCTATGGAGACACATCTTCTTGGCTGGTTGAGCACAATTTTGGTTGACATTCTCTTTCGAAATCTTAGGGAAACCCCCTCCCAGCCCCCGAAACAAAACAACATGAATGGCGCCAATCGCCGTGTCGCAAGTGGCAGCGTCTGGAGGATGCACCTTGCAGTAGGACCGCCAGCTGGTGCCTCCAGGCGGTGGAAGGCGCTGCCTTGATGGGGCACCACAGCTGCCGAGGGGCCTCCGGCGCCCGCCAACATGTAACAAGCTTCGTCTCAAAACGGGCCTCAGTTGGAGACACACATAGGGGTTCATCAAAACGGGGTGACGCCTTGGGTGGTCTCAAAATGATGGACCACCTACTTTTTGTCTGCTTTGAGATAAGGAAACTAGTGGAAACCAGCATCCATTTTCTCAAACGAAGGCAGATCTTCATCCCGTCCTGCTCCCTCCCTTCGTTCAGCAGCTGCACCTGCAGCACCATCTCCGCCAAGGAGAGGCTCCGCCGCGCCGCGTCCAGGGCCTGTGTGAAGATCTGCTGACGCTCGCGAGGACTGTCCAGAGCGTGCATCCTGGGCCAGCAGCACAAGTAGTGGCTCAATCCAGGGCTGTGTGTCAAGAAAACAATAGGTGGCTTCCTTGCTAGTTTTCTTGTAACAACAACAAAAACATTGATTGAGACACAGCCTGTTGACTACCTGAAGTCTCCAATGGCTAGACACTGGAGGCGCAGGCAACCCGAATAATCCAGGCAACGGCACCTGTTACTTGGAGGGAAAGCCTGATCATCAACAACTTTCCATACGCCGAACCAGCAAATAGGGGACCTCATAGGTGTCCTTTTTGTGGAGAATACATAGGCCTGGTAGATGATGAAACCACCAGGTAGAGCAGGGCCAACTATTTTCAAAACACATGAACAAAAAAGGACATCTATGAATCAACGCCCTTTTGAAGCGAGCCACAAATTAACATAAACACGTTGGAATGGGCCCTGAAAAAGGAGTTTCCTCTACAAACAGCTAACTTGCAGGCTCCATGATGTTAATTTGGGGGAGGGTATCCCCATGTTCCAAGGGAGTGAGTCACACGGCAAAACAAAAGGGTCGACCAAAGGGATGGCATTTCCCTGCGAATTACCACGCTGAATGAAACCATGGGCTCATGAAACTGAGCTGGACTCCAAACAGTATCTTCTCACGGTTTACAGCGAAAACCACCCACCACTTGCAACAAGATACAAAACATCTAAGGTCGGATCAAAGACAAAACAACAGCCTGAAATGGGTTGCCCTGGTAAATGGACACCTCCACTAAAACATGCCAACTGCTCCCCTGCTTCCAGTCAGTTCTTTGCATCAACCACACTATACGGTTGAAACCCTAAGTATTGCAAGTGGGACAGGAGGATTCCCCTGTAACGTGCCATAGTTTTTGGTTGACTCACTTGCAATATTTAGGGGTTCAACCGTACCTCACCTCCTGAAACTTCAGCACTCCTTTCCTCTGAGCTGCAAAAGCTGCTTGGCATGGCCCTGCAGCTCCCGCAGGGGGATCCGCAAGTCCTCCACAGGTTTCTCCTGGAAGTGCTGTCCTTGCCACTCAATGAATGAAGCCACCAGGCTTTGGATCTTCAAACAGGGACCCTTCAGTGGACATGGTTTACAAGGAGAGTTGTGTCTACCAATCGCCCTTTTCAAATCCGTAGTTACCAATGTTCGAACAAGGGTATCTTGGCAAACATGGCGGCCCTAAATTGGGCAACGGTTGGAAAAGGGCTGCCTGTATCAAGGTGCCGAGGGGTCCAACATTCCGCTGCCAAGCGTCGCATGAAAACAACCAAGGAGGGCACATCAGCCAGATCCCGTGTGCTGGAGGGCAAAGCTTTCTCAGTGCCCGGAGCCGCGGCTGCCTCACTGGATTGTTCGAAATTGCCTGTATGCTAAGGAGGAAACCACACCAGTTGCCCAGTGGCCATGGCACAGAAAGGCACTGTTTTCGTTGGAGACAGATTCTTAGGGCAAAACCAAGAGGCTGCAGACCTGACAGCCCAGCCTGGCTCCGAGCCAGCAGTGAGGCAGTGGTGGCTTGAGGCAGCTTGCGGTGGGTCTGCCACTCAAAGTCTGGCTCGATCAGCATGCCGTGCAGGGCGAAGAAGTCTTGGCAAAAGCTCGGATCAACTCGCTCTTCTGAAGACTCCAGCCTGTCCAGCTCCTCCCTCAAGCTCCGCCGTGCCTGCCGGTGAAGCCTCCCTGACCTCTGCTCCAGTTCCGCTTCCAGCCAAGCGACCATTGCAGGCAGCGCAACTCCAGTCTCGGACTCTGACTCCGAAGTCTCTTCGACAGCGCCAGTGTCTATTGGAAGGTCTTCGCTCGTAGGATTTTGTGGCCCCTTCTCCGCCCTGTCAGCATAGCCAGAGACATCCGACAAGTACTCAACAGCTCCCTGCTGGATCCAATGACAAAGCAACCGGCCCCAGGGCGCCGTTGCTGCATCTGCCTCCAAAATGGCACACCCAAACCTCGAGCGCGTTATGGCCGTGTACAAGATCTTGAGCTCATGGATAGCTGGGACCATCTTGTAAAATGTATCGGAGTGTTGCAGAACCACGTCGCCGGGATCTGCAGTTGCTGCGAACATTGCCAAGTGAGATCCTTCCGAATTCTCATCTGCTAGCTCCCCAATGGCCTGCTGGTAATTTGACTTGCCAAGCAAGTCTACAAGGATGACCAAGTCAAACTCCAGACCTTTCGCCTTGCCAGCAGCACTCAAACAAAGATGCAAGTGCCCTTCTTTCCACTTCCGGGGGGGACGGGGAGATGAATCATGCAGCAAACATCAAAAAACTACTACGTACGGAACGCTGGCCTCTGAAACGGTCAGAGTTGTGACTTGGCAGCCCCTTGCTCGCAGCCGATCTCGAACAGCGTCATCGGGTACAAGGATAGCAGCAGAGCTGGCATCAATGGCCGCGTCGAATTGCAGAAGACCCGTGCCTGCTATCACACTCGCAGTGCAGGCGTCGCCTGTCTGAATCAGCAGGGGTCGCACCTGCGTGCGTGTCTCGCCGATCTCCTCAATGTGATCGCAGGATCGAGGGAAGCGAGTGAAGAGCAGGCCTGTGAGCAGGGATGTAGAGGGTATTCTTGTGAACAGCCCTCAGTATGTCTCAGAAAACCCAACGAACCGGACAAGTACCCGTGGCGCTTCCCCGGTCCAAAGGCTCACGAACACGTGACACGCTCCCCCTCCTGTCACGGTGTTGGCAAGGCCGCGAATCCCAGGCGCACAGCGATAGTTGTAGCGCAAGACCTGGAAGCCACTGATGCAGTCCAGCTGCGCATCATTCTTCTCTCGTCCTGACAAAAACGAGAGCGAATAGAGGTGACACGAGCGCAGGAGGGACCGCCCTGCCCCCTTTCAGGGTGGCTATAAGAGAAAACAAGTAAACAAAATATGACATGAGGCGGTCAATATGCTGAGAAACCACCATATGGCCAAGAGGGAGGAGGGCTCCAGGCACTGTCGCTCTTTGCTGACGGGTGATGGAGAAACGCGGAATTCGGACCCGCCGGTTAGCACCTACCAGCCTTGCTGGCAAGCTATAATAAATGGGTGAGCGTACAAGTCCGCCCGCCCTTTTTGCACGGCTGGTTTTGCTCCTGGTGCCCTCTTTTCCTGGAAGCTAAATTTGCGGGACCCAGGCCCACATGCAACGCGCCCCCTCACAACTCTTCCCCTCATAACTCTTTCCTATTGTTCTCACCTCCTGCCAAGGGTCTTTGATGCTCCAGGATCTTCACATGCGCATTCATAATGTCCGCAAAGCAAAAGGCACTGCCAGGGTTGATCGTCTGACCTGAGAGTTGGAGAGGTTTGGCATGCTTCTGGAGCTACCAGGCATGTGACGGCAAATCATGTCAACATATATTCAATACTTCATGCCCAGCGACACGTATCCCCAGCCACTGTAAAGCCATGGGGGTCTGAGCACATCTGGAGTAACACACTCAGCTGCGCTGGGGCGAAATCTTGCACCTCGTCTACGAAGACCTCGTCTACCTTTGCCATTTGCGCCAGGCGCGCCTGGCTTGTTGCGTGCAATCCATGACTCCTTGTCAAATACCACTGCGAGGTGTATCACTGAAATCAAACCAGAGGTCTCATTGCAAACAACAAGCCATCAAAATCCTCAGCAGGCAAGCGGCTTGAAGATTCATGGCCACATCCACTTCATCCTTTCGCGAGGCCTGCTCTTTCATGATTGTGTACACGGAGAAGGCGCGATGCACAGCGCGTCGGTCGCTGGGAGTGAGGTGCACGCCTTGCCCGCTCACATCGCACTTCAAGTACTCCTCCATTTCCAAAAAGGACACCTGTTTGGAGGTGGTTTGGCCTTTGTTTCTGTGCTGAGCGCTGGTCAATTGGAAAACGGCTCCTCCAGGTCAAGCCCATTCCAGTGCCACCGGGCAAACGGTCGCAAGGCGCAGGTGAACTCAGTCCACACCAGCTTCGCAGAAAGAGCTGACAAGCCACTGCAGGACCTCCGCAGCGTAGGGAAGATGTAGTTCTTGAACTCCTGGAAGCGCAGGAGCTCTCGGCTCTCCCTTGCAAAAAGCCCAACTTGTTCGGTGGGTTGAACATGAGAAACGAAACAACATTACAGTCGCAGTAGTTGCAAAAGCAAAAACAAAAACTCCGAGTTCCTGGAACCTAATGCAGTCTGCGGCTGCGCCGAAGTGAGAGGCCAGCTGGTTCCATGACCTTAGCTGCTGAGTTGATAAGGTGAAGAAAAACATCAACCGGTTTGGTGCTGGCAAAACCAGAACAGGAAACCCACACAGTTCACCAACTCAGCAGTAGGTGGGTAATGCTAAAAGAAAAGGAACCAGGCAACTGCAATATTTGAGTGGAGATTTCTATTTGTTGGCAATAGCCAAGTGACAGGCAAAGCACAGCTGTCTGCGGGGGCCACGGCCCAAACCCAGCGATCACTGGGACTCCAGCTGCCCGCAGTTGCTGTACCACGGTGTCCCGCAGGAGATGAGACTTTGTGATGAAGAGCTGGGAGGGAGTCTTCTCCTCCCTCCTGGAAACTTGGTGCAGGTTTCCATTTGCAAGGGCAACCCATGTTTGTTGGCAATACCCAGGCATGTGGTGGCTTGTCAACATTATGGCCGCTTTTCATAGAGCCCTTGAAGTTCAAGGCAGAGCCCCACCTAATCAGCCCCTTTACAGGGCGCCCAGATCGTGCACCCCTCCCCCCACCAAAATTGGCCAACCACCTGTTTCATAATCTTACTCGCTTGCTGCAATGGGGCCCTTGCTAAGTACGTGGCACACTGGAACGCAGGTTGGCTTTGAGCAAATGAGGTTAAGACACTGTATTTTCAATCATCCTCGTCAAGCTTTCCCTTTCGAAGGGTTCATGGCCTGATTGTTCAATCCGCAAAAATACACTGCTCCTCAGCAGGATGCGCTGCACCAGAACCAATGTCTTGCCAGTGCCAGAGCGACCCTGAAGGAACAAGCTGTGTGGATACTCCACAGCATCTTTCTGCTCCCAGGAGAGTTGCAAGAAGTCAGACGCCTTGAGAGATCCATCCGCTTGGTCTGCTTGGCGCTTCGCTTGGCATCGACTTTGAAGCTCTGCCAGCGTCTGCTCCACAGAAAAACACAAGCGGCTCACGGCCTTTGGCGCTGCGATCGCCTGCGCGAATGCCAGAGATGTGGCGATTGCAGCCACCTCTTCTACCACATCCTCGCTGGCTTCCAACTTGGCCTCAGCCTCTCGCATCCTTGGATGCTGAACTACTGAACTACCATCCGCTAAAACACGCGAAAAACAAGGCAGCCGGCTGTCTCGCCGCCGTGAAACTCTTGCAAGTTTGAAAGCTATGTTTGTTGCAATTCCAATGGGATTGCCCTTGCCATCCTTTTTCAGAACTGTCCGGGGTGGGTGATTTTCAAAAGCTTTTGTGTTCCTTGTCAATGCTGTCAAACCTGCGCAGGCGCGCGTTTTTCAGCCGTTGTAGCCCTCTGCGCTCGTCGACCATGTTGCAGCCAGAACAAGTCTGCTCCGAAACGCACATCCAGCGTCATTGCCACAGCATTTTGCCGCATTCGGGAGCGTCTTGCAGGAAGGTTGCAAAATGCCGAGACTGCACAGCGCACTCGCAGAAAAAATGTGAACTGAGCGGCCAAGAGCAAAACGAACCTGCGGGACCGAGATGCAAGTTGATGGGTCAGCGCACAAAGCACGGCAAGTGCAAGATGGATGCCGGATCTCTGCCAGGGCAGAGAGGCTAAGGGGGAAGCGACCTTCAATCAAAGCAACACCCTGAAAAAAAGGGTCAGCAGGTGAGAGGCAAGCTACGTGATGAAGACCCTTCAGATACGCCACCAAAACAAATCAGAAACATGCCAGCCACGGATCAAAGTTAGGGAGGAAGTGAACGCAAGCCGAGCCGGAGAAACACAAGGAAGGACGAAGCAAAGAGCGAGAGCGCGCGCAGCATGAGCCAAGATCTGCGAACATGCGAAGCTGTCTCTGGCGAACGTCATCATTGCCCCCCTGTTTCTCGTTTGCGCTGTGCTTGATTCACAGTATCCACTCCTGCAACAATCTCATTCACATTTCATGACTCAAGGCCTGGTAGCTTTTGCAATCTGTAGCTCATTTTAAAAAGAGAGCGTCCCCTCATGGGGGGTGGGTTTTTGAAACCCGTAAGATTCACAAATTTCAACCCCACGGGCAATGCACTTTTAGTGCTGTGGACCTTGGATGTTGTGCCCAAACTGCTTGTCTGTTTCAACAGGCTTCATCAAACAATTGGACCTTGAACATTGGCCCATAATTGCTTGTCAATTGCACTATCAGACAGTGTTGAAGGAAAGGCCAGTCGCCAAAAGTGTCTTGTCTATTACCAGCGTAGCTGCAATTCTCTTAGCATCTTTCTTGTCATTCCTGTTGCAGTGTGTAGCATTAGAACTGAATTAGAATTCAAATGGAACCCTTTATGATTATGGAAAGACAAGTTGGTCGTTTATTCTGAATTGCCTGCCCCATAAAAGGAGAGACCAACCAATAGAAACTCAAAGGAAATGCAACGTCAGAGTTTTTGGTTTACAAGTTTTAGGTTGCACCGCTTTAGGTTGAATCAAATCTTGATTAGCCTTCAAGTTAACACAGTATGTTGAATTAGAATTTAAATAGGTGTCCCTTCCCGAGTAGGATTTTAATCGGGAATCTGCTGAAGAAAGAGAAGCTTGTTGTTTCTTCTAATTTGCAATGCAAGCCTCTGAAAAAACTAGAAAAACCATGGCAAAAAGCTGATTGCATTGCAATTTGTTTGCAAGGTTTACATTGCGAGGAATTACTTACATTCAAATTGGATTTCGATCAGACTTCACTTCATGCTCTCGAATTAGATATTAGTCAGCACTTCCCTTCCAAGCAATGGTTCCGATTAGAAGGGTAACTGTTAGTTTTAGATGTGTGTCATGGGGTCTTATCCAAATAATATTTATTTGCTTTATTATTTTTAATTGAGTACATTGTAAACAGGAATTTCATCCAAATCTAAATGGGAATTTCTTTCCAAATATGATCTTTATTTGACATGTTTATTGCTAGAATTTAGTAAGGAAAGACAAGCTGGTAGTTTCTTCTAACTGATTCACTTTGTGTTACTGTTTTGAACCAGAATAAAGATGGATTTCCTTTCCAAGTATCTAAGACTGTAATTGGATTTTAGCTGTAATCTGGATAATATGGCAAGGAAAGACAAGCTGGCTACTTCTTTCAATTCATATGAACAGAATTCGGTTGCACTTAGCAAGTGAAATGCCCAGGCCGCGATGGCAAATGTTTCCTTCTTGCGGATGTTTGTTTCTTCTTGCTGACCCCAACCTCAAAACCAAGCAAACCTCGAGAAACCCCAAAAAAACAAAAACACCATTTCAGACCTTATGTATCCTTGCTGGCTGAGGTAGGGTCTGACAGTTCGGTTTTGTTTGCTCGAGGCCATTTCTTTTTAACAACAGACCCTAACTCAGCCAGCATGGATACATAGGGTCTGAAATTTTGTTTTTTTTGGATTTTTTTGGAAAACTCGAGGTTTTTTTGGATTTTCTGGAAAAGTGTAAAAAACCTCGAGTTTTCAAAGAAAAAAAACAAACCAAAATTGCAGACCCTATGTATCCATACTGGCTGAGTTAGAGTCTGAAATTTTGTTTTTTTGGTTTTTTTTGGAAAACTCGAGGTTTTTTGGATTGTCTGGAAAAGTGTAAAAAACCTCGAGTTTTCAAAAAAAACAAAAAATCCAAAATTTCAGACCCTATGTATCCATACTGGCTGAGTTAGGGTCTGAAATTTTGTTGTTTTTGTTTTTTTTGGAAAACTCGAGGTTTTTTTGGGATTTTCTTGAAGCATCAAAGAAACATACCCCCAAAACTGCTAAATTTCATGCTTTTAAAAAACCCACCCCCCATGAGGGGCCCTTCTGTTAAAAAAATAAAAAAGACCGCTTAGCTGACTGTGGTACAGTTTAAACATGTCCCTGTTGGAACCAAACACTGCTTGCAATGCCATTTGGCCATTTATCTCTTAAATTCATATTTACCTTCTGCGCCGGAGTAGATCCATACCAGGGACCTACGAGGTATTCCGAGGCTTCCCCCCCCCCCAAACCACTTGAAAGACACGTGGTGATGACAGTTCCACGGTGGCGAACCAGCCGCTTCCCAAAAGCAACCGGTGGTGGTGGCGTTCCTGGGGTGCCAAAGAGGGGAAAAGTGCAAACTCAGCCGAAGCAAATACAAAACAAAAGGTGCAGGGGAACAAAAAAGGCATCCCGTGTGTAGAAAACACAACAGACACAAGCAGCCCCTCCCCCAAACGAAGCCAACAAAAACATCAAAGAACGGAGTCACTGAGCCAGGTCTCCTCTCCTGCAGCTTCCGCAAGAGTTTGACCAGCTCCGACCTCTCCTCCAACAAATCGTGCGAGGCCAGCCATTCCTGGCGCCAAAAAGGCGGACTATGTTTGTTTAGCACTTGGGCTTGTCCTTAACGGAGAAACCATCTACTGGCTGGTTCCCCCAGTTGATGGTTGTTGGTTGGTTCATTCCCGTATCCCCTACCGCAACTCTCGGCGGCCATGAAAGAAGGTGCTTTCTTTCTGCTGACTAATTCAAAGGAAATCCACCACCAAAACAAAGGAAGAAAGGGTGCGGATGGGAAACTGGGCTACGAGCAGGATACGAAGCAAAGCGCCGAGGTTCCGTGGCCAACGGGGCCGAGAGGCGCTGGCTATGGAAGCTGTGAGCTTCCTGCAGCAGGTGCCAGGCAAACTGCCGCAGCAGGATCTCCATAGCCATCAACCGGCCCAGCTGAGCTGGGTGTGTTTCATTAATTAGAGGAGAAGGAATCAAACTGATGGAACCCCTCTTCCGTTTTTGAGATGGAGTTGTTAAATCGTGGAAAGGATTCTGAAAGAAATTTGCAACAGTTGGTTCAGCCGGGCGTGCTCAAACCGTTGCATTCCTTGCGGCTAAGCCCTGAATCGGGCCAGCACTTTGAACCGGCGCCGCAGCAGAAGGGTGAAGCAGCAAGCAGGGTCAGCGAGAACAACGCGCCCCTCCAAGGTGCGATGTTCAGTTCCAAGTTGCTACGTGCTTCAACCTACACATTTTTGTATGTATGTATATATATATATATATGTATGTATGTATGTATGTATGGATGGATGGATCGATGGATGCATGCATGCATGCATGCATGCATGCATGCATGTATGTATGTATGTATGTATGTATGTGTGTGTGTATGTATGTATGTATGTACGTACGTACGTACGTATGTATGTATGTATGGATGGATGGTTAGGAGAGCGCTCTCCTGGCGAAGAACATCTGTGTTGAATAGTTGTCCTGCACCCCTGATCATGAACCAAAGCACGTAATCCCACGTCTCGCACTGGCACAGCGTTATCCTTGCATGCTTGCCACGAAAAGAAGCACGCTTCATGGTTCTAACCATCACGTTTTGCCTGGCAGCATCACCGCTATTGATGGAAACAGCTGCGTCTCAAAAGCAATATTGGCCAATCCCAAAGTTCAAGGCGGCAACAACATAATTCCCACCTATCCACAGCAGGAAGGCCAACTCCTTCTATAGTGAGCCAGCAAATAAAAACAGTTCGCAAACAATTGGGCATATTCCAGGAATTGAACAATCCACAATGGGGATGCTGAACCCAACCAACAGAGTCCAGACTTCCAGCAGCATCATTCTACCCTTTTGGTGAGCCCGGGTGAGACCCCTTCTGAACATTGAAGTCACATGCAAGGTCACACAAGTCGGCTGGTCCATGCTGGCGGCGTCTTCAAAGAGTGGATTCTACAGGGGGTCTACATTTCTTGCCATTGGGAAGGGTGTCACACATAGCTGTTTCTCATAAACGGAAACCAAAGGAGATCAAACCTATTTGCGAGGTTCTTGCATTTTGCACAACCCCACAAATCGAGCCCTGGTAAAAAGCAACCTCAACTATCATGCAACGGCAAAAACATCGAGCAGGAGTCCTCCCCGCGATGGCTTGCATGCTTGCGGTACGCGGAGCGTGGGAATTTGTGTTGCGCTGTGCTTAGATGGTGATGCCGGCTGTGTCGTTGGACCGTCCGGGGGTGCAGCCGGGGCGTCCCCCGGACCCTTTCAGCTGCGATTGGCTGGGTGCTGCGATGCACCATGCGATTGCTAACAGCCCTTAATGGCGCACACGTGCGCAAATTGACAATTTTCAGTGTGGCACGTTCCGTTTTGGAAATGTTGCAATGCCGGACGCTTGGGCGTGCGCCTCCACGCTGGCTCAATACTTTAGATGCGTGCGAATTTCATGCACTCTATGAATTGCAGATTGTTGACACTCTGCGGAGCATGTGGTAGACTTCATGCACGCGGCTCCAGCATTGAGGACCGCAGTCTGGTTGCTGAGCACCACGGCGGCGGCCAGCGTGGGGCCTGCTAAGCTCGGCCACTGGGACAACCGGCAGCACCCTTACCATCAACAACACAGCCAACGCTGGGAACTTCATGATGTGTCCACGGGCACCCTGGCTGCCTTCGGCGCAGCAACTGCGGCAAGCTTCGCAGCCACCGGGGTGCTCACGGGCGCGACGCTGACAATCACCAGGGGCGGCCTCCGCGGGCCCGCTGGCCTGCGAGAGCCTGGACTGCACCTTCACAGCCACGAGCGTGCTCCACGGGGTCGTCCGTCTCGTTCCACCACCTTCTCTCGGCCGGGCGCTCGGCCTCCATGCGATGCGGGGCGCCTTGCTGCTGCCCAGCAGGGGCTTCGTCCAGACCGGCGTGCCGTCCGGGTGGCGCAGCGCCTTGAGCGCCCGCAGCCGCACCGAGAAGCGCTTCGCCAGCCGCTGCGTCAGCAGGCAGTCCGTCTTCACCTGCGTGAGGTGGCGCGGGGTCCAGGATGCGCCGGGCCTTGGCCACCATGCAGTGCTCGAAGCCCAGAAAGGTGCCGTTGCTCAGCATCCGGGCGTAGACAAAGTCCCACACGATCGCGTTCACGCTGAGCTTGGCCGTGTACTCCTCGCCCTCGGGCCAGGCCTCGTCCATCCGCTCCAGGGCGCGCCCCAGCACCGCCAACGTGGCTCCGTGCGGAGATGCCTGACACGATGTGGTCCCCAGTGGCAGACGCCCAGGTCCAGCATCGCCACCACGGAAACCTTCGGGTACCAGCCGGGCCCCACGTACGGCAGGAGGTTGAGGCAGGACTGCCTCCTGTTGCAGCAGCCCTCCACGAAGTCCGGCAGCGCTCCCTCCACGGACTCAATGCCGTCGGCCGGGCAGAGGATGGGGGGAAGGGGGCGTTGGCCAGCCCGTTGCGCCTGCAGCGCGTCCACGCCGTGCAAAGTCCCGCTTGCACGCGCCGGGCGCCACTCGGCTCTCCAGGCGCTCACGACGTGGCGGACAGGGCGCACTTGCCGTCCTTCTGCCTCTCCGCCGCCCCGGGCACCTCTCGTTAGAATCTTGGTCACTGCTTCAAGCCTAAAGGGACATGCAGGGAAAAAAGCAACCGACCGGAGCAAACTCGATACGCGCTTTTTTACTTGAGCGTTGCTTAGAAGTGCAGGCTCTGAGATGCAGGTGGAGTGACGATGCGCGTCCACTCCATCTTCCTGCATCTCATGCGGAGCCTGTCGGAATACCCCCCTGAGGTCAACATTGCGTGTTCGACCATCACACAGGGTGTTTTACCCATGGGGTGTGAGACAAAAAAGAGGTATGTTGCACATGTATGCAATGCGTGCATGAGTGTGCATGGGAGGAATGCGTCCTCCTGCAGGGGACCAGTCCGGGCTGACAGAATGCCGATGGCATTCGTCAATGTGCGATTGCGTGCACAGCATGGGCCTCGCTGCATATGCTCGAAATGGTCCTGCGGGAGATGCAGTGAGCCAACGAAATGTGGGAAGCTGACAAGCTTCCATTCGTGCGGGTGCATGCGTCCCTCAATCAGGCCTTGTGGAAGCTGGATGCCACCTGGGCCGTGAAAGGGTGGGAGGGTGGGTTCAAAAAAGAACGAAAGAGGGGTCAAACCCCAGGCATGTCCCTTACCAAAAGGCTTGAAGCAGAAATGGCCACGCGGCCGAAGATTCAACCAAGATTAAAACACAGGGGAAAAGACAAACCCCTAGCGTTAGAATCTTGGTCACTGCTTCAAGCCTAAAGGGACATGCAGGGAAAAAAGCAACCGACCGGAGCAAACTCGATACGCGCTTTTTTACTTGAGCGTTGCTTAGAAGTGCAGGCTCAGAGATGCAGGTGGAGTGACGATGCGCGTCCACTCCATCTTCCTGCATCTCATGCGGAGCCTGTCGGAATACCCCCACTTTAGAGTTCTAAGCAAACGGTCAAATCACCTTACCCCCTCTTTAGTGCGTTTGCGATGCAGCCACGTGCTCGGGTCTCCACGGTGCGTCCGCAGGGTGAAGCGTGAGAGCTGATGCGTGAGGCCAGAAATCATGCGGCCTGAAGCGCACTCTGGCTTCTGGTCGAGCCTGGAATGCGGAGGTATTACCTCTGCTAAGCTGGTCTGCCCAGATGTTGTGCTCCCCTGGGATGTGTGACGCGATCACGGACCATTTGTGCTTATGGGCCCAGGCAGCAACAAGCTGCACAAAGACTTGTAAAGGCCAAGCAGTGGTGAACAATTTATTAACACCGGCTTCGGAAGCTGTGTTATCTGTCCCTGTGGGCATGCAAATGCCATGCACGCCTTGTCCCTCGCAGGACCATGCGATACGCATGAGTGCTAGTTGAGCCAAGGTTTCGAAGCATGCGATGTAACGCTGGGCTTCTTTGGTCAGGCATGGCCATTGTTCCTGGACTTCTTGGAATTGCCACGTCTCTGCGAACCACGAAACGGAGTTGCTGGAGATGAACCAACCCCCTATGCCCACTATACTGCCTTCGGCGCATGCATCCGCGGCTGCTTTGCAAGCCAGCATTGGCTGGCTTCTCAGCGGGCATGCGAGGTCTAGATGGAAGCATTGCAGCAACCATTCTACGCTGTGTTTGCTCATCCTGGACAGGCGAGTGTGCTCTGCGGAGGCGTCCGCTATGCGCACCCAAGCGGATTTGTGACTAGGCACAACGCGAGGCAGGTTGGCTGGCGTGCGAACGCATGCCCCTTGGAACTCTAGAACTTTAGAGCCTGGTGGCATAAAAATGCCATGCACTGCTGACCTGAGCACGGCTTTGGCGTCTAATGCTGAAAGGAAAGATGGCCACAAACGCGCATGGACAGAGATCATGCAACCCGGCGGCGAGTGCAGGTCTGTGTACAATGGCGCTAGCCAGGATCTGAGTTCGGGGCTCAGACTGGTAGCCCAAATGAGAAGGCCTAGAACCTGCTCTAAAAGTTTTCGCTTGACCTTCCCTGCTTTGAGCAGCTCGTGCAGCTGTCCTTTCAATTTGATGGTTTTTTCCGGCGTGAGTTCGATGGTCTCGTGCAGGAAATTAATGCGCCACCCACACCATGTGAGGCTGTCCTGAAATTGAACTTTCTTCCAGGAGATCGGGGCCGATATGGCTGCAAAAAACATGACCATGAGGGCCAGCTGCGCGTCTGCGTCACTGCGATGCAGTGCTGCTAAAAGGTCATCTACGAACAACCATGCGCGATGCGGGCGCAGTCCCAAAATGCCGTGCAGTAGTCTCAGGAGGAATGCTCCGGTGCGCTGCCACCAGTATGCGGAGAAGCGTGCTCCGAAGTGGCACACTCTATAATGGTACAGGACATCGGCAACCCGAAACAGAAGCAGGCCATGTTCACTGGGGTGCACTTGGATCTGCTTGCGCGCTGCTTTGAAATCAAAGCTTGCCCCCACAAAGGAC